GTTAGTGGACAATTCATCATTTGAAAAAAAAACAACTTCATATTCTATTTTAACAAGAAATAATTCCATGTGCCAAAATTCCTTACTTGAGAAAATTTTCAAGTGTTCAAAGCTGGTGAACAACTCATCATTTGATAAAAAATAACTCCTTGTTCCATTATAAGAAGAAATAATTCAATATGCTGGAATTTCATATTTAAGAAAATGTCCAAGTGTTTAAAGCTAGTAGAAAACTCAACATTCAGTGAAAACAACTCCTCATTTTATTTTAATAAGAAATAATTTCATGTGCCAGCATTCTTGACTTAAGAAAATTTTTAAGTGTTCAAAGTTGGTGAACAACTAACCATTCAGAAAAAAATAACTTCCCATTCCATTTAAAAAAAATAATTTCATGTGCCAGAATTATGAAAATTTATAGGTGTTCAAAGTTGATGGACAACTCACTATTCAGGAAAAAAATAACTCCCCATCCCATTTTAATAAGAAATAATTTTTGTTCTAGAATTCCTGACTTGTCAAAGTTTGTGAACAACTCACCATTTGATAAAAAAAAAAAACTCCCCATTCTATTTTAACAAGAAATAATTCCATGTGTTAGAATTATTGATTTAAGAAAATGTCCAGGTATTTAAACCTGGTGAACAACTCACTATTTAAAAAAAATATTATTTAAATGATAAGTATACATTCATTGATACAAAACTATCACTTATGCATATAGCATCATCACACTTTAGAATGTCATACAATATCTATTCTGGTAAACAACTTCCATCACATTGAAAGCAAGTTAATATTAGTATATAGATAACATCAATTCCACCTAATTTTATAATGGCACTTGTCATGTTAGAAATAAGTACCCTCATGAAATTCTTCATCCCTTTACATCGTATTGCTGCATAGACATATACAAAAGACAATAACTCATTTAAAAAATAATATAATGGGTTATTTCTATATAAAAACTGCACCCCTTAGCTATACACTTCACAATAACTTTGTCTCTATGATTCTTTCGAAATTTATATGCAAATTTGTTAGCAAAGCTATATTTGTGTAATGCTTGTCTGAAAGTTGTTGCATCAAGGAATGTTTGTCCTATACCAATAAGTACCATTCTGTTGCATTCACCTTTGGTATTAAAGTTGGAATACTTTATACAGTTAAACTTTGCTCAATAGATGGTGTTGCCAAGGTTTGAAACAGAGATGATAAGCTTAACATGTCAAATTCCCATTCAATTTCACTAGTGGAGGGTGCTTCGTAAATTCCTTGAACACTATCTATGCTATATTCAAATAATTAAGGCTCAATATTAAATGTCGAGAGGCTTAAAGTAATGAAATTGATTTTTAAAATTGATTTTTATTATTTACTCTTGAGGATAGTCATTTAGTGATAACTGTGTAATGTCATTTCTCCTTACACTAACATAAACATGACCATTGTTGTCATTGAATTCAATAAATTGTGCAACTCCAGCATCATCTACAAGGTCTATCATTATAGTTGTGGAAGTTTCAATATTGACAATAAACTTTAGGTTCATATCCTTAATTCCAAGACATACTTCAGCTAATATCAATTTTCTAAATTCATCATATTTTATACTCTCTGTTATTATTCTAGCAATTACATTCTCTTCATTATATTTGACATTATCTTCACTTGTCTTCTCATAAACTCTCTCATAATGGATGAAACAAAATAATTTCTTTTCACTATTTCTTGCCATCTATCATGTTACCCTCCAACCATTTCAAACAAATTTTATTCTAATTTTGAGTTTATAATTGCAGTTCTAATATCAAAATATATTATTACTATTTTAATAACACAAAGTTCAACAATTTGATATTTCAACTAAATTTTACTCTATTTTCTAATACAACTATAATTCCAATAACCACATATCATTATTATTTTACCAAAAAAAGAGTTTATTACTTCTAGACTTTCCTTCCCAGGCTATCACAACATATTGAAAAGAAAAATATAATCAAATCATAAAATAACAACTACACTCTCCATTTTAATAATATATTATTGCATTTATAACGCAACATTTTACATCAGAATAGAAGGCTGTTGTGACTGCCAAGACAGACTTACATTAAATGAGATAAATTAATGCTACTGAACACCATTATTTTGTTGTAGTTATTGTGTGTGTGTCAAAAGAAGAAGTCTCACATTGTTCACATGAGGAGAGGTCCTAGCATATATTTGCTAAGGAATGAAAATGCGCTAGTGAATAAGTTTAAAGAAGAAGTGAGCTTGCGAGTCAAAGAAGCACTAGGTTCTTTTATCATATTTATTTTGCAAAAGTTGTTAAATTAATTTTGTAAATGCCATTTCCTAAAACTTTGGTTTGCACGTTTCAAGTCTAAATTCATTATCCTTGGATTTATTAATGTGCTTTAACTAGACATTATTTTCAATTTAAGCTTGAAATCGATTTTGCAATTGTCTTCAAGTGGAAAATGTTCAAAACGCAAAACCAATTGTCTTTATCACAATGATGTGTCAGTATTTTTATGAAACTCACAATTAAATTGTGCTTTAAGGCTTCATCTAAAGTGTGCGCATATATAGCTTGGGGAATGCAGTGTATCTAGAGCTCATCTTTAGAATTATTGAGCTCTTCCTCTATGTTGCATTGCCCCTATTAATTTTATAGGACGAGTCTATTTAATCCGAGTAGCTATCGTGCAGTCAATCAATGTGGCAGAATAGCTCTTAAAAACAATGTCCTTAGGTATGACTCAGACTATGATTTAACAGCTGATGCCAATATATTATGCACCTATTATTGCTAACTGTATATGCTAAACCCCTAACTACTTTGTTCCTACATCAAACGTGTTTCTTCAATGGCATAAAAGTATATAATGCAATCAAGAATGTCAAAGCTAATATCAGTTAGGGCTAGATTATTTACCTTGATGACATCATAGACTTTAGATTCAACTGCTTGAAGTAACTTGACGACAAGCTTATGATACCCAAAAAAATAAAACTAGATACATGTTAGCTGAAAGAAAGAATGCAAAACTAGTTCACTAATGAAGATAGGCATGGAGGAAAGAATCAACAATTTTTAGCTTATCAACTTGCGCTAGCTGAACCTCTAAATGTTTTCGCGTGAGTGGCAATTTATTCTCCTGAGTTTCATGTTTCATGTCATTTTTATTAGAGGGGTGTTTTCATATTTTCTCAGTCAAAATTAATTACAGTTAGGACCTCCAAATTTGCAATGTAAATTTAAAATTAATTGGTCCTCAATAAGTTTCTCCAAGGGTCATTGGCTGTGATTTTTCCTTCTTGTAATGCTGAAGGATTTATTGATTACACCGAAAAGATGATTTACTAATAAAATTATTTTTTTATTTTATTAAAAAATCTGATATTTGTTGCTCTGTAGTTGGGGCTAACTGGCAAAGATGAGGAGAATGATAATATTATCCAAATTTTTTAAATTTTTTTATTTATTTAATAAATTTCATATAATAATCTAAAAAATAAATTTCATAAGGAAAAATGACAATAAAACCATCTAAATTATATAAATGACAATCTGGTATCTAAAAATGCTATAATTCCACTAAAGTCTCTTAAAAGTAAAAATAGGTTAGGTCAAATTAGACTTTAACCAAATAGGCCCGAGCCTGTGTGGTAAATTAGAGACTTGAGCTTGTATAAGTTTTTTTTTACAGTTCAAACTTGAGCCTATCAAAACCTGATTTAGCTTGAAAGTCTATTTAAAAGTCTATTAAAAAATAAGCCTTTTAAATAGGCTCACATTTTAGTTTTAAATGTCTCAAATATACTTTATGATTATTACAATATACAATATATAACATGATTTATCAATTATAATATAAAATAATTGAAAAGACTTACCAACAATAATATAATATAACAATAAAGTGACAACAATAAAATTAATATATAAGTCAATATAATTGAAAATATAACTAGAAGCAATAAAGAATAAATTAATTAAAAATCAAATGGTGAAACTAATGTATTTGTGATATATATATATATATATATATATTTATTTATTTATTTATTTATATAAATAGGTCGGCATATTAAACTCATGGGCTAGGCTTTAAAAAAATTTTTTTGCCTATTTAATTAAATAGGCTTAATTAGAAGCCCGAGACTGGTCTAAGCATATTTAATAAATAAGTTATATTAAGTTTGAAGTAGGCTAGGTTGCAGGCTCTTGTTAAGGGCCTAGTCAATTCTCATCCCTTGGTCTATAAAGACTTTTTTGTCAGTACATTTTAAAGTAAAAAATACTATTTTATCCTTATTAAAAATAACAAACCCCGATCACATTTTTTGCTTAAGAAATAATAACTTTTATTTTGTGAATTGACAAAGTTGAACAAGAAATCAAAACTTGTTAAATTAATTTATGTTATTGAAAAATAAGTTTTTAAAATAACAAGCTTAAATTATAACTTTTATTTAAAAAATAATAACTTTTATTTAAAGAATTAAAAAATTGAATGATAAATCACAACTCATTAATAAAGATAAAATATTTTTTAATTTAAAATTGATTGACATAGAGATATATAAAAACTCAAATAAAATTATAATATTTTAAAAAATTAAATTAATATTTATATAATTTTAAAGAATTTTATTATTATTTCCTCTAATTAATTTTTTCGGTAAAATAGAAATTTAAACGAGCAATCCCTGAGGGTCGAGAGATCCGTTCAAGGCCTCAAGCCTTTCAAGCACTAACATTGCGAAGGCTTTCCTCATCTCTTTCCAGTCGATCGCCATGGAGCTGGAGGTAATGGATAGCGACACTCCATTTCTTCCTGAAGAAATCATGACCAACATTCTCAAGCGCCTTCCTGTCAAATCCCTAATCCGAAGGCGTTGGAAATATCTCTTCGAGTCCCCATCTTTCATCGCTCAACATTTGCACAACTCCATTAAAAAGCCTTTGCTTCTTTTGCAATGGGATGGCAGATTCGATCGTCTGCAATTATGAGATGCAAGTCCTTGAAGTTCACGTTCGGTCCTTACCTTTGATCGATTCTTGGGCTCAGATCGTTGGTTGCAGCAGCGGCTTGCTCTGTGTTAAACGTGATTATACCGATACATTTCTTCCTTCCTTTTTAGTGTGCAATCCTGCCACTAGAGAGGTCAGGCAGGTGCCCAAACCTAATCTTGATGGAGATGTGTACGATTTAGGATTTGGGTTTAGTCCAATTGTGAATGATTACAAGATAGTGATGTCTCATGAAACTCAGGTTGATTTTGGGGATAGTGGAGTTTCGAATTATAGAATTGCTAAAGCCGAAGTGTATTCATTAAGCAAAGGGTCATGGAAGGAAATAGAAGTTTTGGACGTTGCGGATTTGAGTCTTGATCGTTTCCCTGTCACTTCTAATGGAGCTATTTTTTGGTATGGGAATAAGCTCGGGGGGATTATTTGAATTTTGCAGATAAGGTGCTAGTTTCATTTGACATAGCGACTGAAGTGTTTACATTGATACCCCATCCATCAGAAATTAGTTCATGGTGTATGCTTACTGTGTATGAGAACAAACTTGCTATATTATCTTGGCCTATGAATGCGAACCGTAAATATTTTGTGATTGATTTGTGGGTGACAGAGGAACGTGCAGGCACATCTGGGGAGGGTTGGGGTTGGACTAAGAAATATTCTATAAGCAGGTGTCCATTGATTCCAGAAGGTATTTGGTTGGATGAAATTGTTTGTCGTGAAGCTGGCAGTGAAGCAAGCCTACATCTTTTGAATCCTGGTACTCTTGAATTACAAAAATTTGCTCCTCGCAGATGTGGCTAATGACTTTTCAGTTACTTTCAAGTATGCAGAAAGTCTTGTACCTATCGGCAACATTCCTGTTGAGGAGCATGTTATGGCCCAAAGAGGTGAAACAGCCTGAAGCGCAGCTTAAGGATTCGAAGGCCCTCTTGGAAATTACAAGCAGCAGCATAAATTAGGAAAAGATGAGAGCTGCTTCTTTTCTGCTATTCCTTTTTGGTTTTGTTTGTACTGAGATTCTGTGAACTTCTGTGAATGCATGTTTTGCTGTAATTGAATCAATTTACTTATTATCGGTTGAGTATATACATTCTGATTTTGCTGCTCAATTCATAACAGAGCATTGGTCCTATATCTTAATCATAGCTTTGTATATTTGCTTTGTTTGAGGACTTATGGTGGAACTAAACCCAACCCAAGTAAGGTTTTTATGGCTGTCATAATCCCTTCTGCCCTTAGCTAAAGGGATCTGGAATGGTGATGGTAGATAATTAGTACCAGATCTAATCTCAGACCTTTCACCAATATTTTGTATTTTCTCCTCCAGTGATTCTACTGAAGATGTATTGCATTTATGTTGATGATATGCTTTTGCAACAAGAATTGATTACTTTACTACCATAGAAACCTGATTCTTGGTTCGACTAGTGATGCATTCTTCAGATATTTTGTGCTTTGGTTTGACCAAGATCCTTTCACGAGAGGATACCACTTGCTAATATTATTTTATGTGCTGTGTTTCACCATTTATGTTTTGACAAATAAGATATCATAGTTCAACAGCTAAGACTCTCAGTATTAACCACTTTTGTTCTCTTGACATAGTAATTAGAAAGCTTATGAGTCTTGTGTACAACTTGATTCTCTAGTCCCTTGTTTTTGTCTACAGAGACATGGTAGACTAGAAAGAATCACTTGAGAACTTGGGACTCATTGATCGTGAATCTTAATCATTCCTTTGCAAATTTTCTCCGTTCAAGGACTAGTAGTGTCATTGTCCATTCTCATTTTGACCCCAGCACCCACTGACAGCCTTAGATTCACTACAGAAACAAAAGACATTTCAGAATTTCAATGCATAATGAAAGCAAAATCCCTCCAGGCATGTTTATAGTGTCGCTATAGAGAGAGAGAGAGAGAGAGAGGGTTGAGGACTCACAATCATGAATAGAACCCAAGGCTTGAACACTGTGCAGAGACTCAAAAAAAAAAAAAAAAGAGAGAGAGAGCAGAAAACAGCTCACAAATGCTCCATAATTTTCAGACTTCTCTGCTCATGGTTGTTAAAGCTTCTGGAAAATATTGAATCGTACATCATTTGCTACCATCTCAAACAGAATCCACCCAACACCTTACATATTCTCACAAATACAAATTCCTTCTCTAGATTTTTGAGGTTCTGAGTTGAGAGGATAAAGCAATGTTCTGAGACACTTGTACTTGATAATTGGAAGTCTTTGAAATGCCATATCTATAAAATGTAGGTCCCCTCGCAGTTGTTTGCTATATAATCAATAGCTTATTTTCTTTCCTTATTATTCTGTGTTGTTTTATTCTAAAATTGATAGAAAAAATAAGGGAATGAAAAGGAGATTCGGGTTGACGCTTTTAGAGACAGAAGCATCCATTTCAATGATTAATATTTGGTTAATTTTTCACACTGTGCCGGCCATGGGTTCCACCTCAGAAAGCTATTGACCAACTAAAAGCTTTTGTCAAAACAGCTTTAGATCAATCATAACACTCTCATATTTTGTGGCACATGGTTCAAGTGAAATTTTACTTGCAGGCTCAACTTCTGCATGAAATGGGAATTAACTTGAAGAACAAGAATACTAGAATTTAAACAGTAATGTATTCGACTAAATAGATGAGAAAATTTCACTCAATAGAATGAACATAATCTTAAACAAACAAGCCAGTATAAAAAGACTATCATCATGAAAACAAAAATAAATTATTCAACATTTTTAACATTAGTTCCAACTTCCAAATATAAATATTACAGGAAGTTGTACTCATGAACTATATATAACAAGATATTATTTAAACTCTTAACTCTATATAACAGGATTTTAAATTTTTACTAATATCTCGTCTTATAAAAGAACATAATATCTTTGCATTCCAAGATTCATAAATTTTGAATAACATAATATCGTTTTCTATTAAACCACAAAGTATTATACAAAAAATGAAAATTCTAGCACTTAAATTTCAAAATTTGATGGATATGTTCACAACTCTGGATTAGCATGCAACATCTAGGGGGAAATGATCATTGCCCTTAAGAGATAAGAAAATCTCACCCCTAATATCCCATAAGAATGAATATGATATGCAAGCGACTTCAAGAAAACTATCAATATGCAAAGAAAGAAAGAAATATACTAAGGATTATAAAAATCAATTTAAAATACAAGAACTATATGGCACTCTAATTTGAAAAGTACAATGAGCTTTTTACACATACGGACTTATATGATCTATTCACCTAAGCAAATCCTAAGTTGACTTTCAAAACTATTCCTTCTTCTGCTGTGTCTAAAGAGACCTACTCATAAAGACTTGCATCATCTATTCTTTGAAACCTATGCCACTACTGATGCTAGAAAATACAAGACTTGTAAGTACATATAGAAGCTGAGAAATGGAACACATTAGACTGTGTCTCACAGAATTCAGACAAAGTGATGTGGAAGTCACTGCTATGAGTATATATACTGGGGGATTCCTTGTCTCATCAAGGTCAATTATCTTCTTCCAGCATGTTTTTGTAGGCCTTGTAGTATCATCATCAAACAGAGAATTCTTGGGAAGCTTAGAAGCCATTAGAATGGACAATTCCATCTTCCCAGCAGAAACATCATAGTAGGTGCTAAGATTACTCACGAACTCCTCCTCTATCAATTCTATCTTGTCAGTTACATTATCTTTACCATCTTGTATTACTCTTGTCTTCCATTGCACTTCATGACCATTTTCATAAGTGATGATAGTCTAATTTCAAATGCCTAAATCGTAACTCAACTAAATAACGTAGTCCAAGTAAGGTTCATACCATAAGAAGACCATGGAACCGTGATTTGACCCAGCCAATCTAGTTTTCAAAGATCATCTTTATTAGGAGAAGAGAGGTGAATCTTGACAAATAGTGAATATTCTTTTGAATATGGAAAAGGTTTATAAATACTATCCCAATAAAAGTTTGACTTCAAAAGATCCTTCAACTCAACTAAATAAAGAGATGAGACTCAAGACATATCCATAGGCAAACATGTTTTCAAGTCATGCCATATATACAATTTATCAAAAGAAAATAGTAGAATAACCTTCAACTATGGTTTTCAAACGAAACCCAAAAGGCACCACAACCTGGGTGTTATGATTAGGACCCTTTGAATAAAATTATTAACAAAGCAGCAAGGTAAGATTCCACCGACCATATCTGTGTTAATTTTTTTCTAGGGGAAAAAAATACCCATGTCATATTATAACCATGTAGAAAAAATTCATCCTTGATCCCGTAGAATGCGCTTCGAGTAATAATATTTGAATGACAATACTCAAAAGGACTAGAATGAAGCTGTATAGACATCAACGATCCTGCCTCTATAACATCTGCAACTGTTGGTAACATTCCTTCTGGCATCATTACTGGTTTAGCGCAGGGCCAAAAGCACTTGTCTGAAAAAATTACATAATTAGAGCATTTAAGGAGGCACTTGGATGTCTTTGACAAATAAAAGTTGCAAGGACAACCAGATAACTCCTCCCAAATAACCAAGTACCTGCAAACAAAATTGTATTTTCACAATAGCTATGAAGGCTATGAACTTGAGTTCATACTTGAAGCAAATAATGTAAGTGAACACTACTCTAGTGCAAATGAACTCACAATTCCATAAACTCCTCATCTTTTTCTGCATAATTTAGGAAATCTCAGCGTAGATTGGAAATTCTTGAAGCAATTTTTGCAGACATGAGAGACCATAAAACTAAAATGGCCTTAGAGGAATAAAGCAAAACAGAATCGAGGTTCCTGTCATTTTTTCACAATTTAATCAACAAGACATTCTTGCTGGTTTATATTTTTTTGTCACAGATATATATTTGACAACAGTTCAAAAACTTAATGTCATAAATTTACCTCCACAGAACAAGCTGAAGAATTTGCTCATTTGCTTGAACTCCAAACAAGCTTTTCCGGAGCTGGTACCATCAAATGTTCCTCATAAAGAATGGGTTCAGTTTGTATGCATGCAGCGGACCAAAGGCTCAGCAATCCAATATATGCAGGTAATAAATAACAAGGGAGGAGGAATTTTTTACAAAACAATGGTCAGAAAAAATCAGAACAATATGATGGTGCCAAAACTAAACAACTAGTTAAAGAGCCAATTACATATTCAGTAGAAAATATTGAGCATGGATGTTAAAGAATTTATAAACTCTTTAACAAGTAATTTCTCCAAAAATCATGTTAGAAAAGTTTCATACTTGACAAATGGCCAAAATAAACAGTCACTTAACAACTAAACATGTTCACCTCAAAAACATAAAATAATTTAAGTCAGGCATATGGTAGATCAATCCAAATTACATCAAACAAAAACAACGTTAGAGGGACTTCTGCAAACTTGACACAATGGATGTCAGATACATCGGGACACTTTTTAAGCATGTCATGCAAATAAACAAAAGAGTCCTCCAGCATATATCACAGGTCATGGAAATCAAGACAATTATTGCATTGTCAAACAGAAAATGATTGATAAATAGAAAAATAGAATAGACTTAACAGCCATTGAAGCAAAGAAAGGAGCAACAAAAAGAGCATTGAAATCAGATTCTAGACTGTGGACTTGAACATATTCAGAAGTTAAGGCAAAACAAGTTTTTTTGACATATCAACAAGTTGAGGCAAATCACAGTAAATTAAAACAACAATGTTAGCTTATGATTAAAAAATAAAAAAATTGCGCTTTCAGCTTCAGCAGTCAATAATGCCCCAAAAAAAGGCACAGATAGTCAGAAGATCAAGTAAAAGTAAGTAGAATATCAAGACGTATAAACAGAGCATACATTTATAAGCAGACCAAACGACTCACTACCTATCTTTTCAAGCAATATAAATAAGGATAACTCCAAAAACGAGGGTAAATCATAAGTTTAACTGATCAAGGAGCGTCTAATAGTAGGGTATGAGTTGCGACTTTCTTACTTTATTAATTTTTTATGCCTATGTTAATTTTAAGTGAGAACTGTAGTTTAATCATGTGTCGATTACAAAAATTTTGCAAAGGAGCCCATGAATCAGGTAAAAAAGACTATAATAGTGAAAATACAAAATGACCACCAGATTCAAATCTACGCTGTGCAGCATCAAATAAACAGTTTAAAAAATGAGGTGATACCATAGAAGTGTACTGCTGGTAATTGACTAACAATATCATCAAGATAGCATTCCCCAAAAAAGTTAGCATCAAGATAGTACTACATAGAACATTTGAAACAGTTATTCCGGTGCAAGAAAATACAAAGAAAGCAAACATTCGATCAAAAATATGTTAAACTATAAGGAATGCTAACGTCCACAATAATCATGCGATAACAAGCAATCTTTACACAAGGTGTTCACATCACAATGTCCTTATTCCTTCATTAAAAGGCACAATAAATACAAGGTATTTTGTTTAGGTAATTAGCTATAACACAAATTTCTACAACTTTGAATTAAATGATCTTTTAATCATGTAGAAAGTCTTGTACCTGTTTGGCAACAATCAGATTGAAGAACCTTGATTCTAAATCTTAATCATGAGTTTGTAAACTTTCCTTGTTCATGGACTTAGTGGAAATAATTGCAACACAATTTAGATTACCTGACTTCTTTTGTAATCCTTGATGCCTTTTGGACTCAGTACCAGATGCTTATTTCATGTTGTATATATCCTGTTTCTCTATTATCAGATTGTTTAATGTTCTTTCTTTGTTGGCAGTATCCACACTCCTCAATCTTAATCATTACTTTGCAGATTTGATTTGTTTGAGGACTTCTAGTGAAAATGAATCCAGCACAACTTAGATTATTAGACGGCAACTGTTTTTTTTTTTTTTTCCATTGTGCCATTTATCTCATTTAATTTTCTTTTTTTCACTCACCCTTTAATCTCATTTTTCCTAGCATTTTATTCGAAGTTTAAGGATCTCCTTCAAGCATCAACCAACACCAGAAAAATGCAAGAACTTTTCAGTATAGGAAAATGTATCAGACACTTGCCCTCCATAGCCAAACACCATGCAGACATGTGGTAAAATGTTACTTGCTGTAACCAACGCTTGACCTAATTCAAGATGTTTTGAAGGAGCAGCATTCAGAAGAAAGTTGTAAAATGTAACTGTTCGGACAAGGAAGTTCTATAATGCAGACTAGCACTAGCACCTGTCTCAGCTGTAACGTTTCAGTCAGTCTCCTGCAATACATTGCAGATAAATTATAGCAAGAGATCAAATTGGAAGCTGAAAGTTGGCAAAATCAAAAGGATGAACTCAAATATTGAGAAAAGACATCATCTTCCATTTTGAACCACATTTTGATTTCTCTACACAACTCTCATGAGACTAATTTCTCAAATCATACAGGGGAGGTTACACTTTAAAAAAGAATTGAATTCCCCCCCCCCCCCCCCCCAAAAGGACCCTTCTTCAGGCACCAACCTAACACCAAGAGTAAGATGATATGCAGGCACTTGAGAAAGAGTTAGACCTTTGGGTGATAATGGTTGTACATGCACAATTGATAATGGTTGTATATACTCTTTTTATGGATAATATAACTTTCACTTCCTTAATTTTTTTTTTAATTGTAGACTCAATGCAACTCATTTTTTATAGTTTATTGAGCTAAGAAATTACATGAATTGAATTATAACAAGTCAAAAAAATTATAAGAACTGAGAAAAAAATTCAAGAACTAAAAGTTATATTTTCCCCACTTCTTATTATTATTAGGCATTTCATAATTGATAAATTATATGGCAAATGCGTAGTTGTTAGTCATGGCATGGAGAAAATAGAATAGAGAAGAACAAGCCATCGGAATTTTTTACATTTGTTATTGGAGTGTATTTATTCCCATCAGAATCAACAAATATGTTTTTCCCATATCTGTCCAATTTCTTCTTCCACATCTTTCTTAATCTTTCTTTTTGTTTTTGTTTTTTGTTTTTCATGTTCCCCCTCTCATCCTTTCGTACGTATCAAAGCAATTTTCTCATTTCTTTATTGTATATATTTTCAAAAGACTTCCTATAAAATCATGGCATATAAATCTTTGTGCAATAGTCCGGGAAAAAAACTCCATCCAAACTTCTTTATCACAAATAATTGAGAGTATTTTTCAATGCCCAACCATACTTATATGATTGTTTTCAATAAAAAAAATTCTTATAAACCATTAAATAAAAAAAAACTGAGTATTTTTTTGGGCCTAAAAATAAGAAACAACTTTCTATTGTTTTGTATAAAATGCTCTTAATTTTATCCAAATATTTGATTAACAGGTGAAAAAATGCAACCCATTCTATTTTTTTAAGTACAATTTTTATTTTCTTTTAAAAATATTTTTCCAGGTAAATAACTGTACTTTTTTATGTTTGTTGCTTTGAAATTGTACTATTTCCCATTTTTTGTTTTTGGAAAATAATATTTTACTTTTTATTTATTTAATAAATTTCATAAAATTACTTTTTTGGTAAAACATAAATTTAAACGAGCAACCCTACCATTTTGTGTCTCAGAGATCATCCCTTCCCGGTTTCATGCACTGACATATTGCGAAGCCTTTTCCCATCCCTTCCAGACGAGCACCATGGCGCCGAAGGTAATGGATAGCGACACTCCATTTCTTCCTGAAGAAATCATGATCGACATTCTCAAACGCCTGCCTGTGAAATCCCTAATCCGATTTCAATGTGTGTGTCAGCGTTGGAAAAATCTCTTCAAGACCTCATCTTTCATTGCTGAACACTTGAACCACTCCAGTAAAAACCCTTCCCTTCTTTTTCAAACCTATGACAGATTCGATTGTCTGCAGATGCTCAACTACGAGATGCAAGTCCTCGAAGTTCAGTTTGAGATCTTACCATTGATCGGTTCCTTTCGGAGGGCTCAGATAATTGGTTGCAGCAATGGCTTGTTCTGTGTTAAACGTGATTATACTGTCCTACCTCTTCCTTCCCTTTTAGTGTGGAATCCTGCCACTAGAGAGGTCAGACAGATTCCTGAACCTATTAATCATGATGGAGATTTTTATGAATTTGGATTTGGGTTTAGTCCCATTGTGAATGATTACAAGATAGTGATAGCTCGTGAAACTGAGATTGATTTGGAGGGTAATGGAGTTAGTTATAGAATTACTGGAGCAGAAGTGTATTCATTAAGTGAAGGGTCATGGAAGGAAATTCAAGTTGGGGACGTTGGGGTTTTGAATCTTGTTGGATTACCTGTCACAGTTAATGGAGCTATATTTTGGAATGGGTACAAGATGGATCGGGATTATCTTAAGGTTTGTGAGGAGGTGATAGTTTCATTTGACATAGCTATGGAAGTGTTTACATTCATACCCAGTCCATCAGAAATTGATTCTTGTAATCTTACTGTACATGAGAACAAACTTGCTATATTATCTAGGCTTATGAATGGGTACGGTGAATCATCTGTGATTGATTTGTGGGTGACAGAAGAGGTTGCAGGCGCATCTGAGGAGAGATGGAGTTGGACTAGGAAATATTCTATAAGCACGTGCCCATTTACAAATCCAAAAGGTATTTGGTTGGATGAAATTGTCTGTTGCCAATATGGAAGGGAAGTAGGCCTACGTTTGTTGAATCTTAGTACTCGTGAATTGAAAAAAATTGATAATCGCAGACGTGACAATGACTTTTCAATTACTCTCAATTATGCAGAAAGTCTTGTACCTGCCCGCAACACTACTGTTGAGGAGCATGCTATGGCCCAAAGAGGCGAAACTGGCCTGAGGCGCAGCTTAAGGATTCGAAGGCCCACTTGGAAATTACGAGCGGCAGCATCATAAATTAGGAAAAGACGAGAGGGGCTTCTATTCTGCTATTCCTTTTCGGGTTTGCTTGTACTGAGATTCTCTTATCAATGCTTGAATTTCTGCGACTCGATTATACTGCAGTGGATTCAATTTACGTGTTATCGGTTAAATATATACCCCTCTGGTCTTCTTTAAGTCATTTTTAGGTTCAAGAAATAAAAGTACGTAGAATTCTAAATATGTCTCTATATAACAAATCTAAAAAGTGATATCATGTTATTTGTTCTCTTTCGTAAAGGGTAATTTTGAAAATATTTTTCAAATATTAACTAAAAAACTGTACTATAACTTATAAATGGGATCAAATGGATCTTTTAGATGTGTTTTATAAATGAAACCGGAGCAGTATATCATCTGATTTTGCTGCACAATTTATAATGGAGCATTGATTCTATATCTTAATCCTAATTTTGTAAATTTGCTTTGTTTGAGGACTTCTGGTGGAAATGAACCCAAATCAGTTTAGATTTCTATAGCTGTCTTTATAATCCCTTTTTTCCTTGGCTGAAGGATATAGAATGGTGATGGTAGACACTTAGTACCAGGTATAATCTCATACCTTTCTCCAATATTGTGTTTTTTTTTTTCTCCTCCAATGATTCCATTGTAGACGCAATTCTTTGCATATATGTTTATATGCTTTTGCAACAAACAAGAATTGATTACTTGACTACCATGGAAACCTGATTCTTGGTTTAACTGGTGATGCATTCTTCAGATATTTTGTGCTTTGATTTGACCAAGATCCTTTCATGAGAGGATACCGCTTGCTAATATTATTTTATGTGTTGTACTTCACCATTTGTGTTTAGACAAAATAGATATCATAGTTCCAACAGCTAAGACTCTCAGTATTAACCATTGTTGTTCTCTTGAAAAAGTTATTAGAAAGTTCATGAGCTTTGTATACAGCCTGATTCTCTAGTCCCTTGTTTTGTCTACTGAGACATGATAGTAGGGGTGAGTAAAACCAAATTGAAACAAAAAAAAAAAATTGAATTGAATTGAATTTATATGTTTGATTTGGTTTTTTGGTTCAATTCGTTTTTTTTAAAAAAAAAAAAAACTTCGGTTGATCAGTTCGGTTCGGTTCGGTTAATAAAGTTTAAAATCAAATAGATTGAATTGACTGAATTATATAATAATTTATTACTTTATAAATCATATATAGTCTATTAGTTACTTTATTTTATTCTATTTAAAATTTTATACTTAGAAAAGTAAATATATAACTAGCTAATAAGAATATATGAAATTCTAATCCTCACTCCCCATATTTTCACTCCCTCTACTACGTTCTCCCTTTTCCTATGGCCTCTCTCGCTCTTTGTTTTTCTTTCGCATTCATCTTTTTGTAGCTGACATATACTCCTCTCAATGTTATTGATGAGTTCCTTCCCCTAGGTCGTCACCTCTGCCACCAATGAGCTCATGTGCCTTCAGTGTTGTGATCTCCTACTCTAACGCCGTCAATCTTTATTAGTTAAATGATGATTAATTAATCACATCTCTCACCTCTCTCAGACTTTTCCATCTTGCCCTCTCTCCCTTTCTCATTGAGTTGCTATGGTTCAACTCTTGGAGACTTCACTGCCTTTACAACTTTGTGATTTGTCATTTGGGTTACTTTGTGCCTTAATGATTGTTTTTTAATTCTGCCTTTGATGTTTAAATATTTTGTTGATTTAATGTTTTGGTTTCTTCAAGCCTTGATTTTTACCTTTGATTTCTTAAATTTTTGAATGCTTTGCAATAGTGGCTTGCTAAATATCTCCCTTTCTGATTGCTTCCTGTTGTTTGAATGTTTTGTTGATTTTATGCATTTAGAGCTTATAAATTGAATAGACTGACCAAATTGAACTGTTATAATTCAAACATTTTATGTAATTTGGTTGATCAGTTTTGAAAAATTTGGCACCGAACCAACCAAATCGAACCAATGCGCATCCCTTACATGGCAGGCTAGAAGGAAGCACTTGAGAATTTGAGACTTACTGATCCTAAACCTTAATCATTCCTTTGCCAATTTTCTCTGTTGGAGGACTTCTGGCGGAAATGAATTCGACACAATTTAGACTATTTGATTTTTTTTATTGTTTTATGTTCCTTGATGCCTTGTATAAAATCTAAGGAAAATTAATCATTTAGTCTTTATAGTTATGACTCAATTGTAATTCATCCTTTAATTTTGATTTATTATAACTCAATCTTTGAAGTTTTGATTCGATTGTAAATCAGTTCCTGAACTTTAATTTTTACAATTTAACCCCTGAAATTTCAACCTCTTAAATATTAGTCCTTTTATTTAAAAAAATAAAATTATAAAGATTAAAAAATATTTTAAAATTTATTACTATTATCTTAAATTACTAAACTCTTTTAATATTTATAAATATTAAAAGCTTGAAATATTTTTAATTTTTTTATTTTTTTAAAATATAAAAACTAATATTTTAGAGGTTGAAACTTCATGGATGAAATTGCAAAAAGGTAAAGTTCAAGAGTTGATTTACAATTGAGTCAAAATTTTAGGGATTGAATTATAATGAGTTAAAGTTTAGGATGAAATTAAATTAAAATTATAAAAATTAAATAATTAATTTTTTTGCAGAATTTATCTAGAATGGTGACTCCAGATACTCATCACCATAGTTTTCTAGCTTGTCGTATTTGACCTGTTTGTACATGACAATAGATAATGACATATTTGACCCAAAAGACTTTCGATACTACAGCACTATTCACCTACACAGTCTCATTCCATTGTAGATGTAATGTTCTGTACACAGTCTCATTCCATTGTAGATGTAATGTTCTGTACATATGTTCCTATGCTTTATTGATGCCACTTACTACTATTATTTTAGTATGCTTTAATATATAATGCTTTTTTTTTGAACAATTTAGTCATACTAGTCGAAAAAATTGATCTATCGATCAGATGTGCATAAAAATAGTTGTTGTTAGGAGAGGTAAAATCTCTGATATTGAATTTAGATTATTGAAGATTTGGATTTGAGCTAAATTTCTTATCTTGATACATAAAAATTTGTGTATTTAAATTTGAATCAAATTCAAATCTTTTATTTATTTATTATATTTATTATATTTTTATTTTTTATATCTTAATTATTTAAAATTTCAATCATTCCAATCTTATTTTTTGTTTCATGCTTTTATCATTAAGTCACCTCTTCTCTTATTTCTTTTACTTCAAATCCCGACTAAGTTTCCTTCTTATTTAGTTTTCTTTTTTAAGTTTCTTATACAATCAAAGTGTGGGATTTTAAATAAATAAATTTTAAATATAAAATTTAAACCTAAATAAAAATTCAAATCCAACTATATAAATATGCCTGTGTTATTTATATATCTTAGAAGAAATTATTATTGTAAATTGGGCTGGGAATAGGCATACATGAAAAAAAGTACTTTTTCAGTAAAAATATAAAAAATATATTTGTAGGTCTTTACAATTTGACTTAATTTTAAATTAAGTTCTTATAATTTATTTTGTTTTAATTTAGCCTTATAATATGATCAATTAATTTTTTAATCCCTCAAAATTAAAATTCTTAAATTCTTCAATAAAAAATAAAATTAAGAACTTGTATATTTTTATTAAATGATTATATGACTTTAAAATTAACAACATAGTTTTTATAACTCAAAATTTATTTAATTAGATTGTCTTCTAAATATTTTTTATAAATATAGAATCTTCATTAAAAATTAATAAAAATGTAAATAATGTATTAAATCAATATTTTTAGACTTTGACTAAAAGAATTAAATTATTTTTTACCAACTCCAACCGTATTTTTATTTTGTGAAATTTATTAATTTATTATTAATTTTAACCTTTAAAACTTAACATATATGATAAATTAAATTATAAATATTTAATTAAAATAAAATAAATTGTAGAGATCTAGCTTAAAATTGAGTGAAAGTATAAAGATTTGTAAATATATTTTTTTAAATATAAAATTGTAAATCTTGTAATAGCCTCCCTTAGAGATCCTTTCTTCTCTTTCAAGTTTCAAAGAGCTCTGCTCCGTCGACTATAGGATATAGCCTCATCCAATCCCTAAATACTTGATTGCGAAGGCTTTCCTCATCTCTTTCAGTCGAACGCCATGAAGCCTAAGGTAATGGATAGCGACAATCCATTTCTTCCTGAAGAAATCATGACCAACATTCTCAAATGCCTTCCGTTAAAATCCCTAATCCGATTTCGATGTGTTTGCAAGCATTGAAAAAATCTCATCAAGTCCTCATCTTTCATCGAAGAACACTTACAGCACTCCAGTAATGAAAACCCTTTACTTCTTTTACAATGGGATGCTAAATGTGATAATCAGCGCTTGTGTATGATCGATTACGAGATGCGAGTCCTTGAAGTTCATCCCCCACCTTTTGATCTTGAGGGAGATGTCTGAGATCGTGGGTTGCAGCAACGGCTTGCTCTGTGTTAAAATATTTGATTATGTGGTGCATCTCTTCCTTCCCTTTTATTGTGGAATCCTGCCACTATAAAAGTCAGAAAGGTGCCCAGAACTATTTATAATCTTGATGACGGTGATTTTTACGTAGGATTTGGGTTTAGTCCAATTGTTAATGATTACAAGATAGTGATATCTCGTGAAAAAGAGCTTGATCAGGAGGATAATCGAGTAGAAGTGTATTCATTAAGCACAGGATTATGGAGGGAAGTAAAAGTTGAGGACTTTGGGGGTGTGCGCCTTCATTCTCACCCTGTCACTGCCAATGGATCTATTTTTTGGCCTGGTGATGATAGTGAAGATGATTGGATGATAATTGCATTTGACATAACAATGGAAGTGTTTTCATTGTTACCACCACCTGCTTCATTATATTTTGGTTCGCGTCCTTGTCTTACTGCATATGAGAACAAACTTGCTACTGTGATTGAGAACCATGAAATTTGTGCGATTGATTTTTGGTTAATGGATGAGTGTACTAGTGCATCTGGACAGAGATGTAGTTGGAGTAAGAAATATACTATAAGCACATGTTTATCCTGGTATCCACGCTGTATTTGGATGGATCAAATTGTCTGTGACGTTACAGATCTGTATAAATCTGAATCTGATGAAAGTGAATGTGAAGCTAACAATGGAAGGCACACTGTTCTATCTTTGTTAAATCTTAGAACTCATGTATTGGAAAAAAATTTTATTCACAGATTTTTTATTCACAGATATAGAGTTTCAGGCATTTTCAAATATGCTGAAAGTCTAGTATCTGTAGGTAATTACCATGTTTAGAAGCACTGGTTCTATATCTTAGTTTGAGGACTTTTGTTGGAAATGAAGCCAACCCAATTTAGCTTTCTTAATGACTTGGTAGATACTTGGTACCAGATTTTTTTTTAATATCAAGTTGTTTAGTTTTCTTTCAAAGTTGGATGTCTAAATTATAGTTGCTAGTGGATGAATTATGTGGGACTATCCATAAAAATTCTTTTTATGATTCTTTTTTTCCCAGCGTGTCAATTATCAAATTTAATTCTTCCCCCCTCACTTTCTTTTAGAAACTCATTATTCCTTGTAGCACTGAGAAATAGACAGCAATGGATGATGACAGATTTTATGCCCACTAGCCAACAATATTATTGTACACATTTTCAAAAGAACTTATATATCAAACCCTCTTCATTCAATTTGTGTTTTTTCTCCTCCATTGATTCCATTGCAGGTGTAATTCATCACATGTATATGTGTTGATATGCTTTGCAACAAGGATTAATTGCGTGACTACCATAGCAAAACTTGATTCTTGGTTTAATTGGTGATGCATTATTTAGACATTTTGTGTAGATTTGACAAAGATCCTTTCATGAGATTTCTAATGTTATTTTATTTGCATGTCACTGTTTATTTTAGTACAGATCAGATATACTCCCTTCGTTTAAAAATGTAAAGCATTTTTAATTGAATTTCACTCTCTAATAAAATAGTTATCTATTTTCAAACTAATTCTATCTTTTCATATTTATCCCTATTAAACACTCTATAATAAATAAAAAATTATTATCAATAAAAGTATTTTTGATAAAAGGCAATGATTATATTTCGAAAAATTAAAAATGTCTTATATTTTTTAATATTTAACTTCTCAAAAAATACTTTATATTTTTAAACGGAAGGAGTACTTCTAAAGAATGTCTTACTACTAAACTCACAATGGCTTCTACCGAGGCCAAAGGGGTCAGTTCAAATACTAAGACAACACAATATCTTTCGTTAATAGCATGAGTTAGTGTCTAATATATATATATAATGTGTGGTGTGTCTCTTTATACTCTCATGACATTATCATCCAAGAATGGTAGTATGTGAGATCGATTGCATTATTGTAACAGCATTAACACGACAATGCCATCATCATTAACCACTATGATCACTCCTGGCAGTTGTTCTTTTAACTCTAAATTTGTTTTTAAATTAAATTTTATTTTGTTCTGTTTTAAAGAATAATGTTTAAAAATTGGTTTACAAAATAATTTTTAAAAACAAAATCAGACAAGCCCTAAAACACCATTTTGATATTTTTCATGCATGTTTTTCCTTATCTAATTTTTGTTTCTTTTTTCCTCCGTCCCCTTTCGCTTCTTCATAGGCTGTTATCTTTGTTGCATGACTTGTGGAGATCAGCCTTATTCACCCTCCTTTATCCTCTTTTTCATGACTTCAATAAATATTACAGATCTGATAGATCTCAAGGCCCATCACATGTAAGTTCGATGGTTAAAAAAAAATATTTATCAATTGAACCAATCCTTTATTAATTATTTAAAATGCGTTTTACATTCCTGGTTATTTAACATATAAAATAAAACAGACATTTCAATTGATAATAATTAAATTTCGAAATTAGCTAAAAAATTAAATTTCAAGATGATTTTTTGTAATCTAAATATTAAATCAAATACATAATGTTTACTATTTATTAATATGTAATTGTTGCGTGGGAAAATCACAATTAGGATTAGAAACTCCATAAGAACATTAATAATAATTATAAACTTTAAATTATGGAAATTCTAATAGCAGACCATGATTCTTACTTACAAAAAAATATCTTTTATTAATTAGTTTGAGATTCACAACTGATATTCATAAATTTTCAATTAATACTACAAAAATTTTTAACTATCTTTTATTTATTTTTTAAGCGATAGTAAAAAATCACAAGTGATTGGCTTATAATTCATAGTTGACTTTTGTAAATTTCTAACTAACGTTACAAATAATTGTAAGTATATTTAATAAATTTTTTAAGTAATTTATTTATATATTGAAAGCAAAAAATAACAAGTGATTGGTTTGTAATTCATAATTAATTTTTATAAATTTCTAACTAATGTTACAAATAATCTCAAGTATATTTAGTAAACTTTCAAAGCGATTTATCTATATATTAAAAGCAAAAATCATAAGTGATTTGCTAGCGATTCACAATCAATTCTCGTAAATTTTTAATTAAAGTTATAAATAATTTTAAGTATATTTACTTAATTTCTTAGGTGATTTATCTGTATATTGATAGCAAAAAATTGATATTCTCAACTAATTCTCATAAATTTCAATTGACATTACAACTAGTTTTAAATGTAATTAGTAGATTTTCCAACTGAGTATTTATATTTTTTTAATTGCAACTAAGGATCATGATTTCTTATTAGAATTTTAATAATTTAAGGTATGTAATTATCATTAATATTTTTATGGGATTCCTAATTGTCATTTTCTCCTTTTTTTGGTGTGAAATATGTAATTCTTTTAATATTGGTTGGCAAAAAAATGCTTTTTAATGTTGAACGATTTTTTTGGGTCAAATAATATAGAATGATTTATTGTTTTTGGTAATGAAGGGAAAAGCTAATACTCTTTCCATTAAAAAATGTGAGTCATTTTTAACTAAATCTCATCTCAATAAAATAGTTATTTTTCTTTAAACTAATATCATCTTTTTATATTTATTGTTATTTAATAGAGCATTTCACTCTAACATAAATATAAAGAAATTTTTTAATTAAGTGCACTTTAAAAAAATATATAATAATTACACTTTAAAATGCTAATTTTTTTATATTTTTAAACCTCAAACATCATAAAAAATGTATTACATTTTTAAATTGTGGGAGTATTTGATGAAATTACCTTAGCTGTGAAATATATAAATATAAACATGCAAAGCTAGGATCACAGTAAACTCTAAGGCTTTATTTGGTAGGAAGGATTGGGAGTGTGGGACTGTAATTGAGATTAAATAATTCCACCTTTTTATATTTGGTACAAGAGAATGGGAAATTTAATCCTAATCCCAATCCCACCTAGGTGAGATTATCCAATACCACCACCCTCTGGTACTGAAAAATTAATCATGGGTTTAATTATTTTCAAACTAATTTGCTCTCACCTCCTATCCTCGTCTCTCTCCCTTGGCCCTTTACTTAGTCGACGCACTTTCAGACCAAGCAACACCTGTAACATTCCAAAAATTAACCTAAGGTTAATTAAGTTAATTTAGAGCAAATGAGTAATTTTGAAGGAATATTTATATATAAATAATTTTAGTTAGAAGATTATTATTGGATTTAATTTAGATTAAATCCTAAGTTATGATTTTATAGTAAATATAAATAGTAATAATAATATTATTGTAAAAAAAAAGAAAGAAAGAAGAAGAAAAATGAACATAAAATAAATTGAAAATTGAAGAGGGAGGAGAGAAGTAATTTTTGCTTTAGGTGTTGAAGTGTAAATAATGCCAAAAAAAAGTAAACTAAAGGGGTGGGGCAGAAATTTTCATGCGTGTGTTTGGTGTACATTATTATTATTATTGTAATAATAATAATGAGAAGGAAAGAAAGACGTGTGGGCCCCACAGTTTTCTTTTGAAAAGCAACACATCTGATTCTTTTCTTTATTTCTTTCATTCTTCCTTCATTCCTTCTCATATGACAGAGAGAGTGAAAACAGAGACAGCGAGCCCGACGCTTGCGACAAAGCTGAAGTAGAAGATAGGGCTCCATAATAGGATACTTCAGATAAGATTTTAAGTATTCTAAGACTAGGTAAGTATTCTAAATATTTTTTCTTAGTCGTTTTTCCCTTTGAGCTGCAGATTTTGATATTTTGAAAAACCTAGGGTTTGAAAGAGGGATGAACTTTGATGAGTAAATCTAATTATTGAGGTTGTTGGTAGTGTAATAAATATTCTATAGTATTATTTTGTTGATAGAATTGAAATTTGAGGCATTTGAGTTTATCTCTAGATCTCTATGGGTAAATTTTTGGTTAAATCTAAAAATATAAATTGATTTGTTGATATTTAGATGATTATTTGAGATGAGAAATAAATTATTATGGCTATAGAATAATGATTCTAGGTTTAAAATCAAGTTTGTAATTTTTGGGTATTTTTATGTGCGAATTTTTGGAATAAAAAAGGAAATTTTGATATTAGAAAATTATTTGAATGAAATTATTGTGAAGGAGACTATTGAACCTAGTAGATAGGTTCAAATACATGAAATTAAATTTTAGAACTTAAGAGGTTAAGACTAAGGTCTTAAAAAAATGAAATAAAATAAAATAAATACTTAGGTGTCAGAGTATGAGTGAAAATTGTGTTAATAATATGATTGACACATTGGGATATGATCAATTGTAGATTAATTTTCTTTTGACACCATTCAAGCTTTGGAAAGCTTTGAAAGTGTTGTAATTTGAGGGGTAACCTTTGATCTCTCAAAGGTTGAGGTACCTTACAAGGTATGTAGCATTGTTCCTATTAAGGGACTTGACCCTATTAGCCTACCTGAAGTTTTGGGTAGAGCTAATTTTGGGTATGACACCCTATAGTGTGTAATTTAGGGAAAATCGTATTCATAAGTAAGTAAGGTAATCCTGGCTCGGTAGCCTCTCATGATATGATTAAGGCCTTGGATAGTCTCACCACATGGACAATCCCTTTCAATTGTTGGCCCACGGATTTCATGTCAGACGAAATAAGGGGAGATATAAGGAAGAGATCGATCATGCATATTATTACTATCATGCCATTTGAGTGATTGATGGCTATGTTGAGAATATAATTATAATTGTAGAAATGAGAACATGTAGTAATTATGCGAATAATGTATATATGGCTATTTGTGCAAATTTTGTACTTGACTTTATTCTTGAAATTATTCACATGAGTTAAATGTTAATGTGATTAATATGTTATTAATGTGATTGTTTGAATGATCACCTTGATAAATTTATTGGCCATTTGCATTCATGATTAATTATCATGTGTAACACCCTCAAAAATACAAATCAATTTTTCGCAAATTATTAAAACCATTATCATAATAGAAAATTTTCTTACCATGATACATCCAAGACATAGCACAAGTCTTAAAATATCCAAAAAGGCAATTAAAACCATGAGGGACAGACATAATCCTCGTGGTCATATAAATACTTTTAATAAAAAGGATTAGAGTTTACATGCTCCACAAAGAAGATATGTCCTAAGTTGGCATAAGATACATTGTATAATCTAAAATAAGAGGCAATGTAAAAGATGGTGTCTCATACACCATAGTTACACCTCTGGTGCTTTCTCGGCCGAACTCGCTCCTGTAAAAATATTAACCACGGGGAATGAGACTTAAAAGTCTCAGTAACCAAAAATTAATATGTAATGATGCATGCGGATGTAACTAATCATGCGATTGCTAAGTGGGCACACAAAACATTTAACCGAACAATATTTCCAAACAAACCGAACAAGTATTTAATTGCATGACTACACCTTATATCCTCCTTTCGCCATGCTCAGACGCCAAATCACCCGGCCAAAGGTGAGTTGGACCAAGCGACACACCACTCATTGGGTCCAATGAAGGCTTACCACGTGGTAATAATTAACCGAATAGAAATTCCCATTAACACCATACATTAAAATACCCTGACAAGTCATGCATCATTCAAATATCCAAACAGGAATATATCCGAACAATAATATCTCATTATGATAAATAAAAATAAATTTTTGACCCACTTGGCAATAATTTCAAACAAGTATATACAGTATTTATTTTCAATAATTCATAATTTTTCCAAACAATAAAACAGCACATAACCATTCACAAACACACTCATCACAACACATTAATAATGGTTACCTTGTGTCTTGAATAACAAGTTCCCCTTCACAACTCCTTTTTCACCACTATCTTTGTCAATATAATCTACATAATTATTTCACAATACTATATATTAATTTTACATTAAAATAAATAACTCTAATTTAAAGAGTTAGAAAGTCTTAGATCTATAATCCATATTAACATTAATTTAAGATTTATGCCTCATTTAACATCCCAAATTCTTTTCTAAAATTCTCGTACCCTAATAAACTATTTTTTTTATCCTCAATTCACTTCTAGTATCACAATTTCATCCTTCTATATTCTAAAAATTCATCCAAAAATAAATTAAAAATTTTAAAATTATCCTGAAGTCTCAAATCACCTTTCTATAATCTCAAAAATAACTATTCATACTTAAATAAATATTTAATAATTAGAGGTTTATCCCTACATCTCAGATTCCACATAAATTTAATCATATAGATCTAGATTTTAACTCAAAAAAATATTCTATAATATTTATTATATCCCTAAGAGTTTTAACCTATATTTTTAATCGATCATATCATCAGATTAACTATCCTATAAAAAAATCCTAATTCCTATAGAAAAATCCTAATCAAAATATTTACTCTATCCTACAAAATAATCATATCACTAGAAAGCTAATATTATTTAGAAAATAACTATAAAATTAATTTTGTAATTAAATAAATTTTTAAATGCTAATCTAAACAGGAAAGTTAGAACATACCTGAAGAAAAAGAAAATAATCCCCCCTTGCGAGAAGACGCCGAGCAACGTGAGAGGAAGAGAGAAAAATAATATAAAAATGAGATTTTAGGTCCCACAATTATATTAAAAAAAACTATAGGTTTGAATTTAATTATTCAAACTCTTGGGTCAAAAGTTGCAATTTTTTCTAAATTGCATCTTAGCCTCTCATGCTTCCTAATGCACACACCCCCCTTTTTATACATGAAGGCACCTCTTCTCTTCCCTCATCTAACCAATATGGGACTTAGAAACAACAACCTTCTACCCCTTTTTTTTGTTCCTTCTACCTTCTCTTTTTTTTAACACACATAAAAAAATTATTTATGTATTATATCTTAACTAAATATTACTTATGTGGTTTTAAATTTAAATTTTTTAAATTCATAATTAAATACCTAACCATAATATCATTTCTAAATAACCTCAAATAATATAAATTCCTATTATTATCATATTTTTTCCTCAAAACCTAAATTCCATAATTTATTTATTATATAAAAATCAGGATGTTACATCATGCATTTGTATAACTTATATATACCTTGGTTACCTCAACCTTTGAGAGGTCAAAGGTTACCCCTCAGGTTACAACACTTCCAAAGCTTTTCAAAGCTTGAATGGTGTCAAAAGAAAATTAATCTACAATTGATCATATCCCAATATGTCAATAATATTATTAACACAATTTTCACTCATACTCTAACACCTAAGTATTTATTTTATTTTTTAAGACCTTAATCTTAGTCTCTTAAGTTCTAAAATTTAATTTTCTAATATCAAAATTTTCATTTTTATTCCAAAAATTCGCACATAAAAATACTCAAAAATTACAAACTTGATTTCAAGTCTAGAATCATTATTCTATAGCTATAATAATTTATTTTTCATCTCAAATAATCATCTAAATATTAAAAAATCAATTTATATTTTCAGATTTAACCAAAAATCTACTCATAGGGATCTAGGGATAAACTTAAATGCCTCAAATGTTAATTCTATCAACAAAATAATACTTTAGAATATTTATTACACTACTAACAACCTCAATAATTAGATTTACTCATAAAAATTCATCCCTCTTTCAAACTCGAGGTTTTCTAAAATACCAAAATCTGCAGCTCAAAGGGAAAAATGATTAAGAAAAAATGTTTAGAATACTTACCTAGTTTTAGAATACTTAAAATCTTATCTAAAGTATCCTATTATGGAGCCCTATCTTCTACTTTAGCTCTGTTGCAAGCGTCGTGCTCGCTGTCTCTGTTTTCGCTCTCTCTGTCGTGTGAGAAGGAATGAAGAAAGAATGAAGGAAATGAAGAAAAGAATCAGATGTGTTGCTTTTCAAAAGAAAATTGTGGGGCCCACACGTCTTTCTTTCATTCTCATTATTATTATTACAATAATAATAATAATGTACACCAAACACACACACGGAAATTTCCGCCCCACCCTTTTAGTTTACTTTTTTTTTGGTATTATTTACAACCTCAACACCCAAAACAAATATTACTTCTTTCCCCACTCTTCAATTTTTAATTTATTTTATGTTCCTTTTCCTTCTTCTTTCTTTCTTTTTTTTTATAATAATATTATTATTACTATTTTTATTTGCTATAAAATCATAACTTAGGATTTAATCTAAATTGAATTCAATAATAATCTTCTAACTAAAATTATTTATATCTAAATATTCCTTCAAAATTACTCATTTGCTCTAAATTAACTTAATTAACTTTAGGTTAATTTTTGAAATGTTACAACACCAACGCCGACGCCCCTCTCATCTGCTGATGTTGACGTCGTCCTTCATCGACGACCCTCTCATTCGTTGGTGCCACTAGCAAATTTGATGAGAGAAGGAGACCAAAGATGAGAGAAGGAGAATGATCCTCTATGACACAAACCTAAGCTACAGCCACCTAAACCCTTGTAGATGGCAGTGACGTCAGCAACCTTGCCACGAAACAACACTTGATTAAGTCACTGACGTACCTTGTTGTTAATGCAGGCATGATCTTCAAAATTCATTGCATAGCTGAGAGCATCGTAAATGGAAATTGGCAGACCAGTGACAACGTTGGCGGGATCCAATTGACCAGATGAAGTCACTGTACTTGTTCTTGAAGTGTGATGAGTTTCGAAATGTGATGGACTTGGCAACGAAAATTGTTCAATTGGTTCATGAAAAAGAACGACCCAAATTGCTTCAGAACCTCTGGTTTCCCAAAGGTCTAATATTGTCTTTTCCTAATTTATATGTAATTATAAAATAAATTAAAAGAAAGTATTCCTCACAAATATTATTTTATGCCAAACATGATTTTAAAACTTCATTCCCACTCTTAATTCCAATCCCAATTTCAATCTCAATCTTAATTTCAATCTCAATCCTCCTAAATTGAGACTTGCTTACCAAAGGCCTACTGGCCTCTTGTGATCGCAAAGCCTTCCCTCGTCCCTTCTAATCGAGAACCATGAGGCAGAGTGCGGCGGATTGCAACACACCATTTCTTCCGCAAGAAATCATGAGAAACATTCTCATACTGCTTCCGGTAAAATCTCTAATCCGATTTCAATTTGTGTGCAAGCATTGGAAAAATTTCATCAAGACCCAATCTTTCATCCAAGAGCACTTGGATCACTCCAGTAATGAAAACCCTTTGCTTCTTTTGCAATGGGATGACAGATGTGATCCTCTGAACTTACATATGCTCAATTACGAGATGCAACATTTTGAAGTCCAGCCCCCTTCTTTGATGGATTCCTTATTGCTGGCTAAGATTGTTGGCTGCAGCCATGGGTTACTCTGTGTTCGAGATGAAAATGCAGTTTTCCTCTCCTTTTTCTTGTGGAATCCTGCCACTAGAGTGGTCAGAATGGTGCCCAGACCTATATATAAGGGATTTGGTCATATCGTTTTTGACATATTTGGATTTGGGTTCAGTCCAATTGTTAATGATGGCAAGATAGTGATATCTCATGAACTTGAGTTTGATTCTGTGTTTAATCGGATAGAAGTGTATTCATTAAGTACAGGATCATGGAAGGAATTAGAAATAGAATTTCAGGACTTTCCTGGGGTGGATTTTCATGGTTCCTCTCCTGTTACTGCTAATGGAACTATGTTTTGGTCTGTGGATAGGGTGATTGAATGTGGCGATGAAGAAGAAATTGATGTTGTTGAAATAGTGATACTTTCATTTGACATAGCAATGGACGTGTTTACATTGCTAACACTGCCTGCTGGATTAGATTTTGGTGCACGTGGTTGTCTTACTCTATATAAGAACCAACTCGCTATATTTTCTCATACTGTGATTGGGAACTATGAATCTTCTGTGATTGATTTGTGGGTGATGGAGGAGGGTGTTGGCGCATCTCTGGAGAGATGGAGTTGGAGCAAAAAACATAGTATAAGCACCGATTATTACATTTGTCCACGTGGTATTTGGTTGGATGAAATTATTTCCTATTATCCGTATGAAGCGTATGTTTTATATTTATTAAATATCAACACTAATGAATCAGAAAACTTTGATACTCGCAGGTGTGGCTATTCCTTATCAGTTACTTTCAATTATGCAGAAAGTCTGTTACCTGTTGGCAATTTGCATATTGAAGATCCTGAATTTTAATTATCACTTTGCATATTTCCTTTGTTTTAGGCCTTACAATGGAAATGAATCCGCCACATTTTGGATCATTTGACTGTATTTATAAACCTTGTGCCTTCTAGAGATGTTGTGTAAGATGATGAATTAGTACAAGAGATTTCTAGGTTTTTTTTTTTTTTGGGATATGTTCATGATATCAAGTTGTTTAGTTTTCTCTGTTTTCTTTTTTTAAAAAGGTAAGTTTCATGAAATTAATAGATTATCAACTTCAGAGGATCGATTCCTGATTCAAATCCTAGTGTATGAATTATATAAGGCTTTCCATGAACCATTGTTTCCCAATTCAAATGTTTGTTAGTTTTTTTTTTTTTGGGCACTTCATTAATTTCCGTTCATTTCCTTTACATGCCCAACATGTTTGCTGTTGGAAATTTTCCCTTCCTTTCCTTCCATTTCATGCATCTCCATCAATTCAAAATGTTATTTATCTTTATTTATTGAAATGCCAATTTTATATTAATAGATCAAAATTTGAATTAATTTTAATACTAATTTCTGAAATTTGATTATTAAAAGGTATCTACTTATTAAGAGAAGCAGATAGTTTCGGTTTAAGGGTGTCTATTCTAATAATTAAATAAGAGGTGTCTTTTTATTTATGACTAATTACATAAAGATGTCTTAGAGTGTCTTTCATTATTTATAAATACTAATGATTAAAAAATCAAACTGAATCGAATGGTTAGATTGTGGATCGGTCAAGATAATAACTTGGTTAAGCTGAAAAAATCATTTGAGGAATTGAGTCGAATTGGGCTGCTTTGGACTGAAGGTCAGACCAGGAATCGGGATCAAGTCGAGAATCAAGTCCGGTTTTAAAAAATCGGACTGTTCAAAAAAATGCCCTTTCTTTTTTAAAAAATTTTTTATCAAATTTTTTTTAGAAAATGAGTAATTTTTTTAATTATTTGATGTTATGTTGTATCATGTGGCTTGTTAAGTCATGATATACTTAAAATATTTTGTTTTATTTTTAAGTTCAATAGAAATTTCATATTTATTTTTATATTTAAATTATTATATACATATATAATTTTTTAATTTAATTATCATGTCACCGTTTCAATGCCTGGTCTGGTTTTGAAAACATTGATAAATACCCTCATTCTTTTTTTTTTTTGGGCCAACAGCAGATAAAAACCCTCATCGTAGTTACATAATTATAATTGTGTTTGATTCAAATGAATATCTAGAAACTAAGATAGAAGAGATCTATCTAAGATAGGAAGAATCAGAAACAAAGTAATGATCTGCTAACAGTTATGATGATAGAAAATCAAATACAAACTACCCAATAATATTATTAGACACATCTAAGCTGATAAGTCTCACTGTTAGAATTTATAAATTGAGTCAGGAAAGGGGAAAAATGTAAGAATTGATGATACTTTTTCTAAGTTTAAGAATCCTTGAAACACCAAACAAAAAGGGATTTGTGTCCCTCTAGAATGATGAACACAAAGCATATGAGTTGACCAGAATGTGTCCCTGTGTATATATCTTTATAGGGTTTAGGGACAAAAATGCCCTCAAAAATTTTCTAGAATCAGCACTAAGTGCTTTCACTTTTTAATTGGAGTAATTTTGCCTTAAAATTTTAGAAAAGAGAATAATTTCACCCTATCATTAAATTTGAAAAATGTTGACTGTTAAAATCAAAATTTGACCAAATGAATGATAGGCAATGTTTGTTGATTTGTCCTGGGTCTACCCTTCTCTCTGAACTGTTCCTCATCTCCACCTCCTTCCTTATTCCTTAGACTTTCTCATCTTCGCCACCGACGTTAGACACATAGCCATAGTTGCTGCCGTTGTCAATGATGTCATCACTTGGATTCTTCTTGCCCTCGCCATTGCCCTCTCTGGCTCCCACACTTCTTCCCTCATTTCCCTGTGGGTTTTATTGTGTGGTGCCGCTTTTGTCTTTGCTGTGAAACCTGTTCTCTTGATCATGGCTAGGCATTCCTATGAGGGCGAGCTTGTAAAGGATCTCTTTATATGTATCACTCTGATAATAGTCTTGGCCGTTAGTTTTGCCACAAATACTATTGGCATTCATGCCTTGTCTAGGGTGTTTGTGATTGGCATTGCCATGCCCAAAGATGGTCCTTTTGTTGGGGTCTTAATCGAGAAGCTTGAGGACATCATCTCTAGCCTTTTTCTACCTCTTTATTTTGTCTCTAGTGGGTTGAAGACAAATGTGGCAACCATAAGCAAAGGAACTTCGTGGTCTGGTCATATTTATTCCTTGATTTAGAAAGATTGTTGGCACAGCTATTGTGGCCGTCATCTGTAGAATGCCTTTTCAAGAAGCCCTTGCTCTTAGTTTTCTTATGAACACCTAAGGCTTGGTAGAGGTCATTGTTCTCAACATTGGCAAGGATCACAAAGGTACTCACAATCTATTCTCCTAATTTAACAATGCATGTCCCTCTAATTAGTCCATTCGCCATTCATGGAATTGTATTCCACTGATGAATGAACTCACTCGAGCATGTACATTTCATTGGGTGTAGGTACTGAATGACCATACATTTGTCATATGTTTATTAATGGCACTGTTCACCACCTTCATCACAAGCTCGATAATGATGGCAGTGTGCAAGCTAGCTCGCAGGGGAGAACCTTATGCAATAATAAATTAAAAAAAAGTAAAATAGAAAGTCTAAGGAACAAGGAAGAAGATGGAGAAAAGGAACGGTTCAGAGACAGAGGGAAAGAATTGAGGACAAATCAATGAGTGCCACTTGTTCTTCATTCAGTCAAATTTTAATTTTAATGGTGCACATTCCCCAGATTTAACAATGGGGTAAAATTGCCCTAATTAAAAGATAAAAATACTCAATTCTCCTTTCAGAGAATTTTCGAAGCATTTTTACCCCTTAACCCTATCTTATTTGCCCACATGACATTATCATCCAAGAATGATAGTAGTGCGAAATTGATTGGATTCATGCATGTGACAATATTTACACAACAATGTCATGTAATGTTAGACACTTGAACACGTTGAATGACGAACTCTTCAAAGTGTGTGGATTTCACACATCATATCTAAGGACAGATGAAAAAAAACATCAAAAATTACATTGTTGTTTTTGGTTAAAAATGTTAAAACTCATTTTAGCTTCCCATTATGATGTAATTATGCATTTTGGCCCTCCCATATATTCAATTCTAGATCCGTCTCTGATTATATCTATCTTTCTCTTCACATGAATCATGATATTATGATGTGGTTCCTTCACAAATTTACATAAAAGAAAGAAACATGCATTCAACCTTATTGTTCTCTGGCCTCATAGCCATCTGATCATTTAAGGATAGTGGCAAAGGTTGATATCTTGGGTTCAAAGAGAACGAGGTATTAATTTGACAGTACCATTGTGGATGGGTGAAAATGAATGGGAAATTCTTCAGCAGAAATACGTTGAATTCAATTTCCATTCTGATTGGGAATACTCATTGAAGCTTTTGCCAGTAATTATGTTTATTGTTTTGTTGCCCTTTGAAGGTGAAGGCTTCTTGGTGTGATTAAACTCCATTTCCATGCTTGTTCCTCCTCCTTTTATCTCCTCTTTTTCATGAATTGATTACATCAAGTCGAATATGTCAGACCAAAATATCTTTCTTTAAATATAAATGTTGTATAAAATTTGTTTTAAGCTATCCAACAAATTTTAATGGATATATTTATATTTTAGTTATGCAAGCTTATTTATTTATTTATTTATTATTTTTTAAAAAAAAATAAAAAATAAGTTGGATAAAATAATATATCAACACAATAAGACATGTACAAAAATAACTTAATAAAATTGGGATTTAATATAATAAGAGATAAAATAATCAATATGATTTATGTTTATTTTTTTAAAAATTATAATTTTAATACAATGTTTTAAAATTTTTTGTTTAAATATTGTTATATTTTTATTTAAAGTTACTTAAATTAGAGGGAGTGTAGACAATTAAATTATAAGGGGAAATTAATAATTTTAAAATTTTCAATATAATTACAAATAAAAAATTAAGTATTTTAACATTGTTAATGAAATATACATAATGGTGTTAAAATTTGAATTAAAGGGTTTTAAAAATAGAAGAGTAACTTTAACAAAATAAAAAAGAGGTCATTATATCTTACTCAATAAATAAATAACTAAATATTTTAACCTCTTATTCATCAAAATAAAAAAAAATTGATCACTTAAAGCGATTTGAAACGTGTTTTCTGTTTATATTTATTTAGATATAAAATAAAATAGGTATCCCAATTGATAACAATTGAATTTGTCATTAAAATCCCATTAATTATTTTAAACTATTGTTTGGAAATTAGCTAAAATTTTAAATTTCGAAATGATTTTATAAAATAAAGTCATCATTACTTAAATATTAATAAATCAAGTACATAATGTTTAATATATAATAATAATAATAATAATATGTAATTGTTTTTTGGGTGTAACATGTGTAATTATTGTAATATTGGTCGACCAAAAAAAATATTAAATATAAATATAAACGGACAAACCATAACGACCTTTTGTGATCGCCGAGGTTCCACTGCTCTCTTCCAATCGAGCACCATGAAACTGACTGCGGTGGATGGCGACACACCATTTCTTCCGGAAGAAATAATCAGAAACATTCTCACACGGCTTCCTGTGAAATCCCTAATCCGATTTCAATGTGTCTGCAAGCATTGGAAAAAACTCATCAAGACCGACTCTGCCATCGCAGAACACTTGCACCACTCCACTAATGAAAACCCCTTGCTTCTTTTGCAGTCGGACTTCAGGTGTGATCCTCTGCACTTGTTTATGCTCAATAATGAGATGCAGGTTCTTGAAATTCAGTCGTCGCCTGTGGTAGATTCCTTACGGTATGCTAGGATCGTTGGTTGCAGCAACGGCTTGCTCTGTGTTAGCACTGGTTATGGTGCACCACTTCCTTTTCTTCCTTCCCTTTTCTTGTGGAATCCTGCCACTAGAGAGATTAGACAGGTGCCAAGAATTATGCACGACGATATTGATTCTAATTATGATTTATTCGCATTTGGGTTCAGTCCAATTGTTAATGATTACAAGATAGTGGTATCTCATGAAACTGCGTTTGATTCTGAGGATGATCTAGTAGTAGAAGTGTATTCATTGAATACAGGGTCATGGAAGTTAATAAAACCTCAGGAGTTTGGTGGGACGTGTCTCTTCATCTTTTTCCAGTCAATGTTAGTGGAGCTATTTTTTGGTATGGGGATAGGATCGTTGAGCTTGGTGGTTTGGGTAAAGATGATGTTATTGAATGGATAATAGTTTCATTTGACATAGCAACGGAAGTGTTTACGTTGATACCACAGCCTACAGCATTATCAGACCGTGATTTACGTGGCTCGCTTACTGTACATCAGAATCAACTAGCTATACTTTTTTAATATTTGGAACTATGAACCTTATGTGGTTGAATTGTGGGCGATGGAAGAGAGTGCAAGTCCATCTGAGGAGAGATGGAATTGGAGTAAGAAATATACTGTGAGCATGGGCCCCAATCCTTACATGTCTCTAAGGGGCATTTGGTTGGACAAAATTATCTCCGATGCTTCTCAGCTTGGAATGACAACGGTTCTATATCTGTTAAATATGAATACTGATGAATTAGAGAAATTTGTTTCTTGCAGATGTAGCGATTCTTTATCAATTACTTTCAATTATGCAGAAAGTCTTGTACCTATTGGCAACAGAAACATCGAATAGCATTAATCCTGAATCTTAATCATTACTTTGCATATTTGCTTCAGGATTGCTGGTGGTATTGAATCCATCAAAATTGTGATGATTTGACTTTATTTCTAATCCTTATGCCCTTTAGAGGAGTAGTGTAGAATTGTGAATGCAGGGATACTTGACACCAATTTTGTTTACAGGGATGGATTTTATTAGCAATGCTCACTTTTTAGCTGGGAAAGCCCATGTTGTCGTGAGCATTTTTTGTACCTTGGATCATTTCCCATCTTGATTAGCTGAAGGAGGTGAACAATGAATCATTTGGCTCTGCTCTTGACTATCTTTTTTCATTATATAGTTATGAATGCACTTCAGTTTGATTCAATAAAAAAAAAAAAAGAAGAAGTCATTTGTCAGATTCATATTGAAAAATATTTCTTTGCATATGCAATTCATGGCACATAAGCTGACATGCTTTTGCAACGAGGGTTAATTCTTTGCATATTTTTTGGATTCTGTGTTTTGATTTGAGGAAGATGCTTTCATGAGAGGATGCCACTATCTAATATTATTCTAGTTATATTTAACCCTTTATTTGCAGAAACATAGGATGATATGTCAACACTCCACGCTATTTTTTTTTTTTTTAAAAGGCCTTGCACATGTGCTATATACACCAACGCATTCACAGTTATCAGCGTATTGCATTATTTATCAATCATATTAAACCCAAAATTACCTCTTGCATTAGGGAAGATGAACTCTATACTTTATCTTTAAAATTAATCTGGTGGAACATTGGCCAAAGGAATTATGATGGAATAATTATTGTTGTGAAGGAACCTGTACCATGTAAATGCTTATAATCATTATCATTGATCATTCTGTCATGGGATGTCCAAACATTTTGGGCTGAACATGTTCTTAATTTTATTTTATTTTTTTGAAAAAAAGAAAAATTCAAAGATCCTAAGAAAGTATAAGAATTTGCATATTATATTTTCTTATGATTTATGATAGAGTTTCGAACAAATGCAAAGTCATTATTTTTCTTAGGTAATATTTATATACTTAGCCTTATACAATTAATGTACTTTTATCCAATTAAATCAAAATAAATAAATTTTAATGTATCAATAATATTAATAACAAGAATTTATTATAGAATAAATAATTTATAAATGATACAAATATCTTCACTTAATTGGAAAGAAATATCTTGAATATATAATATTAAGTATATAGTTTTTTCAATTTTTCTTAATACGAATATAATGGTTATATGTCACACTAGAAATTAATAACATAATCCCCAAAAAAAAAAAGACATGTGCGTATTACATAGGGAATATATATATATATATATATATATATAAAAACCCCTGGGTGGACAAATGGGCAAGGTAGTATAAATTGCTCGACGCCTACCCTTGCCCACTGTTGAGTCCAACTTGAACATGCTCAAATTCTTTTAGAATGTTTATTTTGAGATGGGCTATGCATACTAGGTAACCAGGCTAGATGATAGCCCCTATTGATATCAACATAAAATATAAAAAATCTAACTTGCTTTATCATCTATAAACTATAAACAGAAATTATTTTCTATAATTTATGGATTCACATCTAGTACAGTTTTATTAAATCATATTGTATTATATTATTTTTTTGGTCAAATTTGATTATATAATGGACGATAAAGAATTATATAATTCACATATTCACTCTATATACGTTTATAACTTTAATTATTAAATAAATTTAAAATACAAAAGGAAGAAAAGGGAGAGGGGAGGCGAAATTGCTTAACATAAAAAATTACATACATGCCTATCTTCTACGGGCATATTGATGTTTTAAGTCTTCTTGAATGTAATTTTCTCCAAAGCCTCCTTCCTTTAACACTATTTTTATTTAGTCATATTATATTGGGTTAATGAGCATTTTGAACTTTAAAATATTACGCAAAAAATGCTTTAGACTTTAAACTTTTAAAATATATAAAATGGACTATAAATTTTTAAATTTAGAACAAATTATTCTCACAATTAACTCTTTCTTAACCTTGTTATTGTTCACTATGAAACCCAATCAAATACTAATATGGCAATTCCTTACTAATGTGTTATTTGTTGATAAGTACCACAAATCCTAAACTAAGAGAGTAGATTCTCTCCTCTTCTCTTACCATCCTCTTATGTTCTTTTCAATTTTCAACTATCAAATCAAGATTTGGACTACTCAATTTTGCTATCTTGTAAAATCATTATTTAAATGTTAAATTATAAGAAAAGATAAATGATCAAACTTAAATTCCTAAATTTTAATTTCGGTAGTTTAAAATTGCAGTTAAACCAAATAAAAAATATATATTTTATAAAATATTAAATCCAAACCATCTAAAATGTTAATCTTAATGGTTAGAAAATGAAGAGAAGGAGGAGAGGATGGGAAAGGAAGATGAGAGAATCCTCACCCTCTAAACTATTACATGAGTAGCATCATAAATCTTAAACTTTAAAATTTTGAGCAAATTATCTCTACCATTTTTGTATAGAATATTGACTATTATATAAACTAAATTAACTTCAACGTGATTCACCACAGTGAGCACATTGTTGGTCATTACGAACAACTCATAATTTTATAAAATGATGTTTTTTTGTCCCCCTTTTTTGTAATTTTTTCAAAAAATTTCTATATACCCTATAACTCTGATTTAGTCTTATTTTAAATAATATTTATTTATTTAATGGTAAAAACTTGACATCCCATTTGAAAAAAGTTTAAATATAAGAAGATTTTAATTAAACCAATTAAATTGGGTTTCAAATTCGTTAATGAAATTATCATTTTTCACATCCATCACGTGTAAAATGCTTTTAGAGTTTGATTTTTAAAGAAGTTTATAGAGAATATTGACTGAAAGTAAATAACCCCTTATACAGTAATTAGATTCTTCAAGTGATTAATTTCATAACTGTCGATTGTGAGGATACTTTAAGAAAAAAAAAATCAGCTCCAATGACAAAAAAGTGAACGTCATGGCCAAATTTATCATTTTGAGTTTTCATTGAAATTAACTGATAAATTTAGGAGTGACATTTTAAAATTTTTGTCCGGCTAATAAATTTTAAATTTGTTTAAAAAATTTTGTGACATTTTTCAAAGAGAAAGGGCAAGATTATTAGAAATCCTTTCAAAAATGAAAAATGGGGAAGAAAAAAAAAAGCGAAGAAGAGGGGCTTAATTTTTAGTAATCACTCGTGGAAGTAATTACAAAAGATCTATTGGCATAGGAAAAGATCAAGAAGATCATAGGATTTATCAAGATTCTTAGTGATGCATTTTTGGGATTCTTGTGTTTTGATTTGAGGAAGATGTTTCATGAGATGATACCACTATCAAACATTATTTTAGTTATATTTCACGCTTTATTTGCAAACAAATAGGATGATAGGTTAACGACCCGACATTAACCTTTCTGTTCATTGTTATATTGCACATGTTAAAATTGATAGCATATTACCAACAAGCACGTACGTACCTTAATTAATAAAGAATTGTACTAGTTTAACTAGTGGTGTCAACACTCGTTAGAAGAATTTTACTACCCAATGTCATTATACTTGACTCAGTGCATAAATAATAGGTAATTATATAAAAAAATCATAAATGAAATTGGTTAGTGAGTGTTATGGCTCTTCTTGCCACATCCACCCTCGTAGGACATCAAAATCTTCAATCCTTATATTTTGGCCCATTAATACCATTTCTCATATGTTTAATTTTAAAATCACTCTTTACAAAGTCCCTTTGAAATTGAGATTTTAAAGTGGTAGGGGTGCTAGATATGATCTGTCATTTTATGTGGTAAATTTTTTTTTGATAACATTTTATATGGTAAAATAAATTCAAGTAAATCTCTTAAAACTTGAATATTTCCTTCATTCAAAAATGTAAGGCATTTTTAACTGAATCACATTCTTAATAAAGTAGTTACTTATTTTCAAACTAACTCTATTTTTTCATATTTATCTTTATTAAACACCCTACAATAAATATAAAATCATTTATCAATAGGGACACTTTTAGAAAAAGGGCAATAATTATACATCGAAAGACTAAAAATGTTTTACATTTTTGAACATTCAACTCATCAAAAAATGCCTTATATTTTTGAACAGAAGGAATATATTTTTACAAATTCATGGAATTTATTTATAAATAAATGTCTTATATACATGTATCCTATTTTAAATGTTCCCTTAAATAAATTGATATTTGATTTAATATTTAATTAAATTGATTTTTTGACCGAAATCAATAATTAATTGAGATCTTGATTTTTGATGGACTCCGAAATATTTTATTGACGTAAGAGATTGCAACGAATGGAAAATATCATATTGCACACTGCAATCATCCTTTTATATTGCATATTGCATGTTGTAACTAATAGCATATATCTGTTACTTAAATAAAAACAATAAATATAAGAGGCACATTAGAGACTTTGAGTTTTTGAGATAACAATAGGATCCTCAAGCTCTCTTAATCACAGTTTATCTGAATGTAAGGATGCAAAGAAATCTAAACAAAATTTGTCTTTAAATTAATGATGAAAGTAAAAATACATTATTGTGTTGATTGTAACTAGAAGTTGAAAATGATTCTAAGACTAATTGAAAATACAAGATAAATTTGGAAAGTTAATTTTGTTTGAAAATGATAGAGTTGATTCTTGATGATGATCCTCTTTCTTACAGTCCTCTAGCCCTTTTACAAGCATTCGACCAAGACTTTTACTCTCATGAGATCTAGAGCTTGTTCGCAAAATATTAGGGACCACTTGGCATGTTCTCGTGAGATTCATGGCATGTAACACTATACCCACTAAACAATCTCTCATGTATTGTCACCGCTAAGTCTTGAGAGTTATGCCAAGTTTGTGGGTGATACACCCTTCTCCTTAAAATGAATCCAGCCATGCTTTTTGGGCCTATCATGTCATTTGTCTTAACTCTCCTTATTTTTGGGCTAGCACTTCAACTTTAGGCCTAAACAATATCATATTGCATGTTACCCAAAACAAAAAAGATTATATCATATTGTAATTATCGTTTCATAATGAACATGATTTGCATTGACATGACTTCTTATTTTGTGTCATCTACCCATGCTATAAATTGGCTGTCTCAATGTAAAATGTATGTATTTCCATCTGAGTACTCTTTATTTATACTTTTGCATCTTTAATACCTTTAAAAGAAAGATGATGTTTTTCCTTTATCTTTCTAATTTCTTCTTCCACATCTTATTTTAATTTTATTTTCCTTATCACCTCTCATAAAACAATTTTATCACTTCTTAATTTACACATTATCAAAAGGATTTGTGCAAAATCATTGTATTTAAATATTTGATAAACAATTAGCAAAACAATATTTGCAATGCTTATCTTATTGATCTAAGAAATTATAGAATAAGTAGAGATAATGGCTTTCAAGAGAAGGCAATGAATTTGGCCAAATAAAAAACAGAGAAAGCTATGAAGATATATAAATGAAATAAACAAGATAGAGAAATATATGTACACCACAAAAAAAAAGATAGCAAATAAAATTTTATATTAAGATATGTCCTCCTCATCAAATTTTTGATGTGGAATATAATTTTTTTTCAACTTTTTTTGAATGAAAAGTAATTAAATAAATACGTGTTTAATCCTCTTCTCCATTAAAATAAAAAACAATCTCTTGTAATTATTTGAAGCGTTCTTGTTCCTGGTTATTTAACATATTAAATAAAATAAGCATTCCCATTGATAATATAATTGAACTTGACAATGAAATCTCATTAATTATTTTAAACTATTGTTTGGGAATAAACGAAGAAACTTAATTTAAATTTGAAAATGATTTGTTTCTAATTTTACTCTAACAAAGTCATGATATATCTAAATATTAAACCAAATACACAATAATGTTACAGTAAAACGAAGACATTCATGTTGAATAATATTACAATCAAAAGCCTAAAAATTATAATAAAGAATAAAAAAATTTATAGAAAAAGATAAAAAAAAATTTGGATCATTTTCTATAATTTTTTAGATTACTTTTCATCATTTCTGATCAATGATTAAAATTAACTATTATCAATGACATGAATTCATATTTTATTGTTTTTAAAAATTAAAGGGCCTAACTCATTCATTTATCTTGTTATTAATATAAGAAATTTAGTGGCAACAGTTGTTAAGATAAAGTAATGAAGATATATAAACAAAATAGAGAAACGACCAAATTTAGTATATGACTGTTTCAAATAAAAAAAATATATGCACAAACCATCCTACGAAATAAGATTTTTATATTAAGATATGCCCTACTCATCTAATTTTTGAGGTGGAATATAGGCTCCATTTGTTTAAAATTAAAAATAAATAATTTAAAAATAATTTAAAAATTTTATAAAAAGAAATTAATTTGAAAAGATTTTATAGAAAAGTAAACATTATTTTATATTTATTTACAATAATAATAAATTTTTATTAATTATTTTTTTTAAATTAAGGATATCCTCCTTTATCTTTTTATTAAAATAATTTATTATTTAATTATTTTAAAATTTTATGATATTTGTATGTATACTATCTTTTTAAAATATTTTTTTATTTGTCACATTAGATTATTTTTAAAAATTACTTAAAATTTCTTTTTAAAATAATCATAAACATGCTTTGTATTATTTTTATTGTCAAAAATCCAGAAAAAATTATAAATATATTTTAAAAAAGATATTTTCTTATCAAATAAGCTGAACCATAGTATTAAATGAAAAGAAAAACCCATACTTAAGCTTGTATGTTTAAAATTAAAAAATAAATACTTTTTAAATAATTTAAAGATTATATGAAAAGAGATTAATTTTGTAGATATTTTATAAAAATTATGCATTAATTTATATTTGATTATAATAATAAAAAATTAATTATTAGTTAATTATTTTTAAATTTTATAATATCTTTCTTAATTTTAAATTTATAAAATAATTTATTATTATATTGTTTTAAAATTTTATGATATTTTTATTTATTATTCTCCTTGTTTAGACCGTTCTTTCCTATTTATCATATTAGAATATTTTTAAAAATTATTTAAAATAGCTTTTTAAAATAATTAAAAATTTATTTTTATTTTAATTATTTTTAAAAATTTAAACAAACATTATGAAAATTCACAGAATTGTTTTTTTCAAAAAAAAGTAATTTTTTATATAAAATAAGTTAAAATAAACAAATCTTAGTCTTATTTATACACTTAAAAATTTTTTTAATTAAATTAAGAATTACATATTTTTATTAATTATTTATTTTATACCAAATTATTCTTGCTAATATTTGAACCTTTTAAAATCTAAATATCTTGTATAACTCTTATACTTAAATAAATAAATAATTATGTTTCTAAATATTAAACCAAATACATATGGTTACCGACTTACCATAAACATAATGGCCGCTTGAAGGCTTCCCTCCCCTGTTCAGGTCGAGCACCATGATCCAGGCTGTGGTCGATAGCGACCCACCATATCCATATCTTGCCGATGAAATTATCAGAAACATTCTCATAAGGCTTCCTGTGAAATCCCTAATCCGATTTCAATGTGTCTGCAAACATTGGAAAAATGTCATCAAGTCCGCATCGTTCGTCGCCGACCACCTCCACATCTCCGCTCTTCGAGACCCTTTGCTTCTTCTGCATTATAGTGCCGTTAGAAGTAATAGTCGGTACTGCGTTATGCTCGATTACAAATTCAGAGTCCTTGAACTTCTGCCCTCGCCTTTGATCTCCCAAAAGGTTACCATTATCAGTTCCAGCAACGGTTTGCTCTGTGCTCAAATTCACATTGAATCTCAGGTCCTTCCTTCCCTTTTATTGTGGAATCCTGCCACTAGAGAAGCCAGATTGGTTCCCCACCCTGTTAATAATCATATTGGCTATTTTAAGCTAGGATTTGGGTTCAGTTCTATTGTTAATGATTATAAGATAGTGATGTTTTACTATGATTACAAGGTCGAGGCTAAACGGGTAGTAGTGTATTCATTAAGCACATGTTCATGGAGGGAGATAAAAGTTGTTAACTTGGGGGGTCTATCACTTGATTTTCCAACTATTACGCTGCATGGTGCTATTTTTTGGCGTGGGTATAGGCTGGGTGGTGGTGTTGGTGATTGGATAATAGTTTCATTTGGCATAGCAATGGAAGTGTTTACGTTGATAACACCACCACCTAAAGTAGGCTTTCATTCATGTCGTAGCCTCACTGTGTATGAGAACAAACTTGCTCTGTTTTCTCGGGCAAAGAGTGAGAACAATGATTCTTTTGTGATTGATTTGTGGGTGATGGAGGAAGGGACAGGTGAATCTGGGAAGAAAAAGGGTTGGAATAAGATATATTCTATCAGCACCATTTTAGATATGGTTCCATACGGTTTTTGGTTTGATGAAGTAGTGTGCAAAGATGATGATCCCCCTGATGATTTGTTTGAATTTCCTATATGTCGGTTGAATCTTAACACTCATGAATTGGAGACATTTGCTACCTTCAGACGTGGATATCAGGTTTCAATTGTTTGTAATCATGTAGAAAGTCTTGTGCCTCTTGGCAACATTCATATTGAAGAGGCTTGATGAATTTATCAAGAATGATTTAGATTATTTCACTGCTTATATAATTATTTCCCCCCTTTAGAGAATCTATCTAGAATGATGAATGTAGATATTCAGTAACTGTTTCTGGCTTCTTGTATTTGACTTTTTTATATTATCAGGTTGTGTTTAGTTTTCTTTCAATGCTGGCAACATATCGGCATTCCAAAATCTTTGATCATTGCTCACTCTTTAATATCATGTTTCTCAACCTATTATTTTCCTAGCGTACGTGAAATGCATTCTTCCCTTTAGCACTGTGAAATAATACATAGCAATGGATGATAGTAGAGATTTTATACCCAGCAATATTATTCCACGCATTTTTAAATTTTGAGACTTCCTATACTATAACACTCTTGACTAGAATTGTGATTTTTCTCCTCCACTGCCGATTCCATTGCTGATGTAATTCTCTACACGTGTTTCCTTTGCTTTGTGATAACTCTTGGCAACATCCATATTGAAGAGCCATGATGCTAAATCTTAATTATTACTTTGCAAATTTTCTCTGTTCAAAGACTTCTAGTGGAAATGAATCCAACACTATCTAGAATGGTGAATGTAGATAATCAGTACCAGACATTTTTAGTTTCTTGTATTTGACCTGTTTATATTATCAGGTTGTGTTTTTTTTTTCTTTCTTTTGACCTTGGCAATACATTCACATTCCAAAATCTTGGTTATCAGATTGTGATTTGTTCAAGGACTTCTCATTGTGTCATTTTATCAAATTTAATTTCAATTATTCTGAAAGCCTTGTACCTGTTGGCAATGGGCACATCGATGAGGATTGATCCTGAATCTTAATCATTGCTTTGCATATTTGGTTTAGTATTTCGGGTGGTTTTTGATTAGACTGTATTTGTAATCCTCGTGCCATTTAGAGAAAAGGGTAGAATGGTGAATGCAGTGCAAGGATACTTGACACCAGATGTTTCTATAGCCTGTTGTATTGTTTTTGTTGTTGGTCAAATAGCTTGTTGAGTTGTTGTATTTGACTTGTTCGTGATATCAGGTTGTTCAGTTTTCTTTCAAAAGTCATATTTGTTAGATTTGTTTTGAAAACCATTAAAAATATTCCCTTGCGGATGTAATTCTTCACACGTAAGCTAATAGAAACTTGTTGATTCTTGGTTTCTTTAGTGATTCATTCTTCAAATATTTTGTGCTTTGATTTGAGGAAGATGCTTTCATGGGAGGATACCACTATCTAATATTTTTTACCCTTTATTTGGAGACACAGGGTGACAAGTCAACAACTAAAACCCTCAATTCTAACCATTTTGTTCATTGTTATACATTCAACAGTTATATCCATTCAGCATTCTCTGATGTATAATTAAACTTGACCAAAGAGATCTCAGTTACGGTTGATTTTAACTAGGAAAATCATGTACAGATCATCACCGTATTAATGTGAGTCATTGGACCACGTCAAGTGATTCATTATGGTTTCAAATTTGTTTGTCAAATTTCACTGACTGATATCTATCGTCATTGTCGCGTCAAAGCTGTTAAATTGATTTGTCACAGGAATACACGAGTTCATCAGTTATACGTTTCTCCACTTTTGACTTTGAATTGTGATCAAACAACACATGTCTAAGCTCTCCAATGCGAGATTCATACTTAAGGCCAATATCTTAAGGTTCAATGCATACAACTATTAGATAAAGGAACTGTGAAATGTAAAAGCCAGGCGAAGAAAATCAGTAGGAAATCGGCTGACATCACATGAAAAATTAAAATGCATAAATAACAGAATCACAAAAAGACCACGCCAGTCAGTGCTCCAAAATTAAATGTAGCATCTAACGGATTCTATATAAAACAATCACATAGAGACTATGTCATTGTCAATGCCTCTAAATTATATAAAAATGATTATGAATTATATAAATTGACTGTGGTATAACACAAACTACGCACCTTCCACCCTAAGTTAGATTCTTTGTATTCAAGCCAAAAACTTTACACCTTGTACTCTTGGTCAAAACCCTTACACTCTAAGTTAATTTTCTTGCACCTCAAGCTAGTCTCCTTATATTTTAAGCTGGAACCCTTACACTCTAAGCCAATCTCTTTACACCTTGCATTCTAAACCATAATCAACCCTTGCACCTTAAGCCAATTTTATTGCACTTCAAGCTAGTCCCCTTACATTTTAAGCTAGAACCCTTACACTCTAACTAAGCCAATCCCATTACACCTTGCATTCTAAACCATAATCGTTGCATGATAAGTTAAAATCCTTACACCCTTTAATTGTTGAGTCTTCATGTAATCTTTGATAATTACATGTAATTAAGGGGTATTGAGTTTTTATGGATACCCTTGCAAGCACACCATCACTTGCTAGAGGATGGGCTGGGGCTCCAACGGGTAGGACTCCAGTGGCAAAATTGTGTTTTTTTAATTAACGCAAAAGGACATTTCAATTAATTATATAAATTTTTTATAAATAAAATATTTAGAATGATTCTTTAAATCCAGAGACTAAATGCATTTAAAGGATCATTCCAAATAAGAAGGGAAGAGGGTCGTAATTTTTTGTAATTACTAGTGGGAAGTAATTAGAAAATTTATATTGGGCGTATGAAAAGATCAATAAGTGCATGAAATATTCTAAAATTCAATGAAATTGGTTAGTGAGTGGCATGGCTGGAGCGCTGCGACATCCACGAACAATCCATATATTTTGGAGAAAATGACAATTAAGTCTTAAAGAGAGTAATTAAATTCACTAAGGTCCCAAGTAATTTCAAAAGGTCAATTAAGTTCCATATTTTTTTTTCACAAATCTGAGTTATAGTGGAGATGTTTGAAATACCGACGATTTAGATATCAAAAGGAGGTGGGGAATTCCAAAGCTCCTAATATGGTTAATGAGGGCTTTTAAGTAATTTTAACATTGCTCATATGGCCTCCTGAGGGCCCATGAAACTTAATTGATATTTTAAAATATCTTGGGACTTATTTTGAATAAAATTGGTCCTTTTAAAATAAGTCCTTTGTCATTCTCCCTATTTTTTGACAGTTTAATGCCATCACTCGCATATTTGACTCCAAAATCAATCTTAACAATATTTCAGGAAGGGGGGCAAATGACAATTTTTTTGGAGGGGGCATGCGAAATTTTCCTTTTATTACATCTATGAGACGGCTTTGACTTTAGTGGGCCCCTTGAACGTAGGTCTGTCTTTGATCTGTATTAGCAGACCTTGTTTTGACTAGTAGGCTTATTGTATATGAGAACCATCTTGCTATATTTTCCTATTTCTTTTTCTGCGATGGGGAACTATGATTCTTTTGTGTTTGAATTGTGGGTAGTGGAAGAGAGTGGGAGTGCATCTAGAAAAAGATGGAGTTGGAGCAAGAAATAAACTGTAAACACTGGTCCTGGTCCTTACTTGGATCCAAAGGGTATTTGGTTAGACAAAATTCTTCTCAACTTGGATGTGATGAAACAGAATATGAAGCAAATGATGCATTGATAACTGATCTATGTCTATTTAAATATGAATTCTCGTGAATTAAAGAACATTGCTTCTGGCAGACGTGGCAATTCCTTATCAGCTGCTTTCAATTATGCAGAAAGTCTTGCTCTGGTTGACAATAGGCACATCAAAGAGCATTTATCCTGAATCTTAGAGTTCTTATTTAGATAACCTGTAAAAATATATTTAAATCACATCTGAAATGTGCTTTTGTATTTAATAAATAATTTAAAATTTTTTAAATGGGCTTTTGTCAAATATAAACTGAGAACCAACACCCAGTCATTACTTTGCATGTTTGCCTTGGGCTTTCTGGTTGAATTGAATCCATCAAAATTATAATTATAAACAATTACATGATAATTATAGACAATTATATATAATTTTAACAAATAGGATGCAAGCTTATGACAGCACTTTTAGATTTTATGATAATTATAAACAATTACTTGTAATTTGAACATATAGAGGGAATGCAAATTAGTGAGCAAAAGTTACAAGATTGATTTTACGAATTTCATATAAAACAAACATACAGAGAGCACATCACTATAATGCCCCTAAATTCCATGAAAATGACCACTAATTTCATGTAAAAAAAAAAATTCTATAAAGAGTTGTGTGAACATGCTTGAGAAAAATTATATGTAATATCTAACAAATTTCATGTAAAATCAACACATAAAAACCATGCAAACAATAGTGTCTCTAAATTACATGAAAATGACCACTGATTCCATATAAATCAATATATGAAGATATTTGCAAACATGCCTAAGCCAAAATGACATATAATATCTAACAAATTCACTGTAAAACAATCAAAGAGAGATCACGGCACTATCAATGCTCCTAAATTATATTAAAATGATTACGAATCACATGTAATTGATAGTGGTATGATAGATGCCACACACTTTGCACCCTAAATCAGACCCCTTACACTCCAAGCTAGAATCCTTATATCTTGAGTTAGAACTCATACACTTTAAGTTAAAACCCTTGCACCCTCTAATTATTGAGTTTTTATGTAATCTTTGATAATTGCATGCAATCAAGGGATATTGACTTTTTCTAGTGGCCTTTTACTTGTCAGAGGAGTGGCTGGAGCTCCAATAGCCAAATTTTGTGCTTTTTAAAATTTTTTAATTGTTAAATTAAAACAGAAGAGCATTTCATTCAATTGCACAAATTGTTCTATGAATAAAATATTCATAATAGCTCTTTAAATGCATTTAGTCCCTGGGCATAATTTGTGGTTCAGCTGGGCATTTAATAGCAATTTTTCCCAGAAAAAAAGCAAGAAGAAGGTCGTAATTTTCGGCAATCAGTTGTGGGAAGTAATTAGACAATTTATATTAGGCATATGAAAAGATCAAGAAGAGCATGAAATATTCTAAAGTTCAATGAAATTGGTCAGTGAGTGACATGGCTCTTGAGTCTTGCCACATCCATAGACGGAAAATCCAGAATTTTCAATCCTTATATTTTGACCCTTTAGTACCATCTTTCGCATATTTGACTCTAAAATCAATCTTAATAAAGTTCACAAATCTTCTTCTAATGACATTAGATCCTCAAATTCAAAATCAAGGATTTTACTATGGCCAGCTCGTGGGAGTCCAAGACTTTAGTTATGTCCCATGGAATCTGGGTATAGTTTGACAAATTTGTTGAATTTATTTGTAAATAAATTTCTCACATGGGATGTATTTGTATTTTTTTTCTTATATTAATTAGTAGTATTTAATTTAATATTTAATTAAATTAATTTTTGACCAAAATCAAGAATTTATTGTGATTTGATTTTTGACCTAGTCCAAAACATATTATTAATTAAAAATAAGAAAAACACAATCATTAATCCCTATATTTTATTGATTTTTACTTTTACTGCCTATAATTTTTCTGTATTTTCAATCCTTGTAATTTTAATAAGATCAAGTGGCGTTTGTTTCTGAGGTTCATAAAGATGTTAAATTACGTATATTATAAGAATTTAAAAATACTAAAAAAAAATATGGAAACAAAAAATAGAATATAATAAAATTATATGGATCAATGATTATGTTTTTTCATTTAGATATTATATTGCAATTAATAGAATATACTCATTCCATTCAAAAATGTAAGGCATTTTTTAAAACATTAAATAATAAAAACATTAAAACTTTATATTTTTTAATAAAAGGTGTATCATATTGCAATCATCCTATCATAATGAATATGATCAACAGTTTCTTATTTTGTGTCACCAACCGATGCTATAAATTGACCATCTCAAGGCAAAGTGCACGAAGTATTGACTAATTTGCTCCATGCTTGAATAGTTGAATCTGGTATGTCTCTATCCGAGTACTCTTTATTTATGCTTTTTAATTTTCAATACCTTTAAAATAAGTAAGGTGGATGTTTTTCCTTAATTTTTTTAATTTCTCCTTTTACATCTTATTTTAATTTCTTTTCCCTCTCACCTTTCCGCCTTTAGTATGCTTTTGAACACTTTTATCACTCCCTTAATGTACACATTTCTAAAAGAATTTGTACAAAATCAGTGTATTTAAATATTGAGAAAATATAATCATTAATCTCCATAATTTTATTAAATTTTGTTTTTAGTTTTTATAGTTTTTTCTAGACTGACAATATTAAAAATACTGAAAATATAAGGGTTTAAATAACAAACATCATCTAATCTTGTTGAAATTATAGAGATTGAAAATATTAAAAAAAGTTACTAATGTTAAAAGTAAAAGTCAATAAAATCATAGGGATTGGAGAATATGTTTTTTCGTAAATATTTGTTGAACAATTGAAAAAAAAATATTTGCAATACTCATCTTATTAACCTAAGAAATTATAAAATAAATAAAGGTAATTGCCTTCAAGAGAAAGCAATAAAGATATATAGATAAGATTGAGAAAGATACCCATACTTAATGTAGAATTGTTTCTAATTAAAAAATATAGTTGCACAATAAAAAACGATAGTAAATAAAATTTTATGTCAAGGTATGCTCTCCTCATCAAATTTTTTGGAGCGGAATATAATTTCTTTCAACTTTTTCCAAATGAAAAGTAATTAAATAAATAAATAAATGTTTAAAAAATTAATCACTTATTCCTTATATTTTTAATTTAATTATAACAAACTTTGCTCATGTTTAAAGTTTTGGATTAATGGTCATTTTTATACTTAAATTATGTACGAAAGGTTACAAATATTTTTAAAGTGAATTATATATTAATTTTATTACTCAATTTTTAATATTTTCTCTATCATCATTCTGATGTTAAAAATATTTAATATTAGTTAGTTATCAATTAATTTTATTATTTTTTAATATTTTTTATTAGTTTAAGAATCATTTTTTTCTCTTAATTTTTATTTATAAGATTATTTTTACTTTTAAATTATAATATTTTATAATAAAAAATATTAAAATATGTAATGTGAAACCATCAACAGTTAATTAATGATGAGAATATGCGATGGTGATGATAGAGAAAATTTGTAGAGACGAGGGCATGATGATCAGCTTATAGTTAAGTTTTAAGAGATTTGTAAATTTCCGTAACAGTTCATAGATTCAAATCCTGAAGTTTTCACTCGATGTAAGGCTAATGGCAGCTTGTGACGGCGAAGGCTTCCCTTTTCTGTTCAGGTCGAGCACCATGGATCAGACTGCGGCGGATGGCCACACACCATATCTTCCCGAAGAAATCATCAGAAACATTCTCACACGGCTTCCTGTGAAATCCCTAATCAGATTTCAATGTGTCTGCAAACTTTGGAAAAATCTGATCAAGACCCCAACGTTCATCGCCGACCACCTCCACCACTCCACTCTTCAAAACCTTTGCTTCTTCTGCATTACAGTGCCGTTAGGAGTAATCGTCGGTACTGCGTTATGCTCGATTACAAATTCAGAGTCCTTGAAGTTGTGCCCTCGCCTTTGATCTCGCGCAAGGTTACCATTTTCGGATCCAGCAACGGTTTGCTCTGTGCTCGAATTCACGGTGAATCTCAGATTCTTCCTTCTCTTTTATTGTGGAATCCTGCCACTAGAGAAGCCAAACAGGTTCCTCACCCTTGTATTGAAAAACTTAGCGGCGATTTTGACGGAGGATTTGGGTTCAGTCCTATTGTTAATGATTACAAGATAGTGATGTCTTACTTTGATTACAAGGTCAGGCGTAAACAGGTAACAGTGTATTCATTAAGCACAGGTTTATGGAAACAGATAAAAGTTGGTAAAAATGGGGGTGTATCCCTTAAATTTCCAGCTATCACTGTAAATGGTGCTATTTTTTGGCGTGGGGAAAGGCTAGGTGGTGGTGTTGGTGGTTGGATGATAGTTTCATTTGACATAGCAATGGAAGAGTTTACGCTGATACCACCACCACCTACTGTATTAGGCTTTTATTCACGTTGTAGCCTCCTTGTGTATGAGAACAAACTTGCTATGTTTTCTCGTGCAAAGAGTGAGAACAATAAATCTTTTGTGATTGACTTGTGGGTGATGGAGGAGGGTATAGGTGCATCCGGGGAGAGAAAGGGTTGGAATAAGATATATTCTATTAGCACCATTTTAAATATGGTTCCATATGGTATTTGGTTTAACGAAATAGTCTGCAAAGATCATGATCCGCCAGATGAATGTTTTGAATTTCCTATATGTCGGTTGAATCTTAATACTCATGAATTGGAGACATTTGCTACCTTCAGACGTGGATATCAGATTTCAATTGTTTGTAATCATGTAGAAAGTCTTGTACCTCTTGGCAACATCCATATTGAAGAGCCTTGATGAATTTATCAAGAATGATTTAGATTATTTCACTGTTTTTATAATCATTGATGCCCTTTAGAGAATATATCTAGAATGGTCAATGTAGATTCTCAGCACAAATGTTTCTAGCTTCTTGTATTTGACTTGTTTCAGGCTGTGTTTTGTTTTCTTTCAATGTTGGCAACATATCAGCATCCCAAAATCTTGATCAATACTCGCCCTTTAATATCATTTTTCCCAGAATATTATTTTCCTCCTTTCCTCCTCGTACTTTACTTTCTTTTGTGAAACACATTCTTCCCTTCAGCACTGTGAAGTAAGACATAGCAATGGATGATGACAGAGGTTCTATACCCAACAATACTATTCCACTCATTTTTAAATTTTGAGACTTTCTATGCTATATAACACTCTTAAGTCTTAACTAGAATTGTGATTTTTCTCTTCCACCACTGATTCCATTGCAAATGTAATTCTCTACGCACATGTTTTATTTGCTTTGTGATGCCTCTTGGCAACATCCATATTGAAGAGCCATGATGCTAAATCTTAATTTTTACTTGGCAAATTTTCTCTGTTCAGAGACTTCTAGTGGAAATGAATCCAAAACTATATCGAGGATGGAGCCTCAGTACCAGACATTTCTAGCTTCTTGTATTCGACCGTTTTATATTATCAAGTTTAGTGTTCTTTTGACCTTGGCAACGTGTCCACATTACAAAATCTTGGTCATTACTTTGGAGATTTGATTTGTTCAAGGACTTCCTAGTGGAAATAAATCGGACACAATTTTTATTGTTTTACTGCAGTGTTCATTTCTCATTGCCTCATTTATCAAATTTAATTTCAATTATTCTGAAAGCCTTGTACCTCTCGGCAATGTTGAAGAGTATTGATCCTGAATCTTAATCATTGCTTTGCATATTTGCATTAGGATTTCCGGTGGCACTGAATCCATCATGATTTTAATGAGTTGACTGTATTTGTAATCCTCATGCCCTTTAAAGAAGTAGGGTAGAATCGTGAATGCAGAGCAGGGATACTTGACATGTTTCTAGCCTGTTGTATTGTTTTTGTTGATTGCCAAATAGCTTGTTGAGTTGTTGTATTTGACTTGTTCATGATATCAGGTTGTTCAGTTTTCTTTAAAAAGTTATATTTGTTATATTTATTTTTAAAATCATTAAAAAAATATTCCCTTGCTCATGTAAGTCTTCACACATAAGCGAATATGCTTTTGCTTGACTACCATAGAAACTTGATTCTTGGTTTCATTAGTGATGCATTCTTTAGATATTATGTGCTTTTGATTTGAGGAAGATGCTTTCTTGAGAGGATACCAATATCTAATATTATTTTAGTTTTATTTCACCCATTATTTGGAGACACATAGGTTGACAACTAAGACCCTCAATTCTAACCATCTTGTTCATCGTTAAAATCTGGCAGATTCTTATGCTAGAGTCTAGTGCTGTGAAAAATCCACATTTAGAGCTATGGCCAAAAAAGAACCTTTGCAGAAGGCCAACAACATCTTTATACACACACACACTCAGTTTAAAAAAAAGTGTGTGGCATTTTTAATCAAATCATCTTTATATATATGAGCAGCATCTTGTTAAAATCTGGCAGATTCTTATGCTAGAGTCTAGTGCTCTGAAAAATACACATTTAGAACTATGGCCAAAACGAACCTTTGCGGAAGGCCAACAACATATTTATATATATGCACACACAGTTAAAAAATGTGTGGTATTTTTAATCAAATTATGTTCCCCAATAAAATAGTTGTGTTCCACCAAATATTATCTCTTCATGTCTGCTATTATTTAATAGAGTATTTTATTTAAAATAAATATAAAGTGACTTATCTGTTAAGAATATTTTTTGTAAAAGCGCATTAATTTTATTTTGAAACACTAAAAATATTTTTTATTTTTAAATATACAAATATTGTAAAAATATTTTATATTTTTTAATGAAGAAAATATATTGAAATAACATCCCCCAAAAATGTTTGCTAAAATGAAAAAGCATAAAATTGCTAGCCATTGAAAGTGACGATTGTGGACCTTGGACACACATTCAAGTTATTTGACAGCGAAGATGAATGATTATGGAAAAATGATAATTAATGATCTTTTAAGAACATTAATTTCAATCAAGAATTATAAAATTTTAAAATTTCAATTAAGGATCATGATTGGGATTAAAAAAATAGAGTTTGTCTTAAAGTCCTTGAAAAAAAAATTCAATTATTTTAAAATTTCAATTATGTTGTTTTTATAATATACGTTAGTAATTTTTTTATGTTGGGTTAGTAAATTATCAAGTAGTGTTAATGAATTTTACCTCACGTTAGTGGATCTCAATTTGGTAAGTTACTTTTTTTAAACAATTGATTCTTTAGTGAGATTTATTTTTTCACAATATATGTTAAAAATTTTCTCAAGTCGAGTAGTAAATTCTCAACTAACACTTTTTATTAAACAATCAATTTCAAAGTGAGATTTTATGTTTTTTACAATATATATTAATAATTTTTTATAGTGGGGTTAGTGAATCCTTAAGTGATGTTAGTGAATACTATTTCACGTTAGTGAATCTCAAAAACATTTAAAACAAAATATATTTTTTTATCCTGTTTTTAATTGAAATTTTAAAATTTTATAGCCCTTAATTAGAATTAATATCTTTAGAGGGTCTTTAATTGTCATTTTCATAATGATTGTTCCTCATGATTAGCAAAATAAAATTCTTGTGCAATTTCTTATTCCAGTTTTTGGGAAAATGCTTGGAAAAACAGGCAACCAAAGAAATGGAGCGCCCGCCTAGATCCGGAGTTTTATAAACTCGGAGCGTCCACAGATTGCAAGCTTGTTTATCAAGTGCGCTTTTGAGTTCTCTAGATTGATTAGAGGGGAATGACATTAATATCTCAAAATATTGAATTTATAACAGATAAGTTTCCAATAAATTTTTCTGCAAAATTAATTATAAATATTCATCCGAACACTTATAAACAAACAAATTTTAATTGAAAATAACAAATTAAATTTTAAATACGCTAACTCTCAATTTATAATTAGGATTTTTATTTATAATTTTTTGAATTAATATTTATAATTTATTTTTAAAAAAATTTGTTTGAAACTTAAATATAATAAATGATCAATTTTGAGACTTTATTTTCATACTTCCATTCATTTTGGCTGTTATTGCTCTTGAGACTGGAAATCTCCTGCCGTGTAATGCATAGTTTTCTCCACGACACCTGTGTTTACTACACATGGTTTAAAACATTAGAAGATTGAAACATAGTTATTTCAATATTAATGTCATTTTACTTTGCCTAATTTAGTATAAAACTAGGATAGGATTTCTCCCCAAATACAATTGTTTGCCATAAAGATAAGATTTGTTTTGCCCACGTATACAGCAAGGATTAATACTATACGCAGTTTGTGAGGTGATGATAAAAGAAAATAGCCTATAATAATATCACATGAATAGATAATATAAATAATTAATTAGATAGAATTTATAAAATTACATTACTTATATTTATAAATAAAACTCCATGCCTTATTTAATTAGTGCTATAGAATTATATTCCACCCCCAAAGTACACTATGGGACGAATACCAATGCTCATATATGCTACGGTGAGAAGGAAGATATAACAATAAAAGAAAAATAGCATATAATATGATATTATACAAATAGATAATAAATAATTAATATAAATTAATTACTTGCACATAATTTATAAAGAGAAAAACTTATATACCTAGTCTTATATACTTAATGTATTTGTTTTTAATTAAATCAAGACATGTGTATCTTTTATAAATTATTTATTCTATAATAAATCATTGTTATTAATGCTATTAACATATTAAAGTCAACATTTCTTAATTTAAGTGGATAAAAGTATATTAAATATATAAAGCTAAGTACATAAATCTTGTCTTGTTATCATCGGTTCCAGCAACGGTTCGCTCTTCGCTCGAATTGACAATGAATATCAGGTTCTTCCTTCCCTTTTGTTGTGGAATCCTGCCACTAGAGAAGCCAGACCGGTTCCCCGCCCTATTAAGAATCGTAGCCGCTATTATTACGTAGGATTTGGGTTCAGTCCTATTGTTAATGATTACAAGATAGTGATGTTGTACTATAATTACAAGGTCGAGGTGTATCCATTAAGCACAGGGTCATGGAAGGAAATAAATGTTGTTAACATGGAGGGTGTATTGCTTGATTTTCCAACTATCACCGTAAATGGTGCTATTTTTACATTGGCACAACCATCACCTGCTTTATTTGGCTTTGATTCACGTCGTAGCCTCACTGTGTATGAGAACAAACTTGCTCTGTTTTCTTGTGCAAAGAGTGAGAACAATGAATCTTTTGTGATTGATTTGTGGGTGATGGAAGAAGGTATAGGTGAATCCGGGAAGAGAAAGGGTTGGAGTAAGATATATTCTGTCAGCACCATTTTAAATTTGGTTCCATACGGTGTTTGGTTTGATGAAATAATCTGCAAAGATGATCATCCGCCTGTTAAATGTTTTGAATTTCCTATATGTCGGTTGAATCTTAATGCTCATGAATTGGAGACATTTGCTACCTTCAGACGTGGATATCAGGTTTCAATTGTTTGCAATCATGTAGAAAGTCTCGTACCTCTTGGCAGCATCCACATTGCAGAGGCTTGATGACTTCATCAAGAATGATTTAGATTATTTTCACTTGATGCCCTTTAGAGAATCTATCTAGAATGTAGATACTCAGTACCAGATGTTTCTAGCTTCTTGTATTTGACTTGTCTATATTACCAGGTTGTGTTTAGTTTTCTTTCAACATTGGCAACATATCAGCATTCCAAAATCTCGATCATTGCTCACACTTTAATAGCACTTTTCGTAGCATATTATTTTCATCCTTACCTCCTGGTACTTTACTTTCTTTTGTGAAACACAGTCTTCTCTTCAACGCTGTGAAATAATACATAGCAATTGATGATGGCAGAGATTTCATACCCAACAATATTATTCCACGCATTCTTAACTTTTATGGGACTTTCTATACTATTAACACTCTTAACTACAATTCCGATTTTTCTCCTCCACCACTGATTCTATTGCAGATGTAATTATCTACACATGTTTCATTTGCTTTGTGATACCCCTTGGCAACATCCATATTGAAGAGCCGTGATGCTAAATCTCAATTATTACTTTCCGAATTTTCTCTGTTCAAGGACTTCTTTTGGAAATGAATCCAACACAATATAATATATGTAGAATGGTGAGTGTTGATACTTAGTACTAGACGTTTCTAACTTCTTGTATTTGTTGTGTTTATATTTTCAGGTTGTATTTAGTGTTCTTGTGACATTGGCAACATATCCCCATTCCAAAATCTTGATCATTTCTTTGAAGATGTGATTTGTTCAAGGACTTCCAGTGGAAATAAATCCAACACAATTTAGTTTATTTTACTGCAAGTGTTCATTTTTTTCCTCATCGTGTCATTTCATTTATCTATGTTAATTTCAATTATTCTGAAAGCCCCTTAACTCTCGGCAATAGCACATGGAAGAGCATTGATCCTGAATCTTAATCATTGCTTTGCATATTTGGTTTAGGATTTCTGGTGGTACTAAATCCATCATAATTTTGATGAGCTGACTGTATTTGTAATCCTAATGGCTTTTACAGAGGTAGTGTAGAACGGTGAATGCAGGGATACTTGGCACCAGATTTTTTAGCCTGTTGTATTGTTTTTGTTTTTGGCCTAATAACTTGTTGAGTTGTATTTGACCTTTTCATGATATCAGGCTGTTCAGTTTTCTTTCAAAAGTCATATTTGTCAGATTTATCATGAAAACCATTAAAAAGTATTCCCGTGCAGACGTAGTTCTTCACACGTAAGCTAATATGTTTTTTGCAATTGTATCCAAAAACAAAACAAAACAAAACAAAAGCTTTTGCAGCAAGGGTTAACTGCTTGACTCCCATGGAAACTTGATTCTAGTTTAATCAGTGATGCATTCTTGGGATATTTTTTTTGTTTTGATCTGAGGAAGATGCTTTCATGAGAGGATACCACTATCTGATGTTATTTTAGTTATATTTCACCCTTTATTTGCAAACACATAGGATGACAAGTCAACAACAAAAACCCTCAATTCTAACCATTTTGTTCATTGTTACATTGCACTCGTTAAAACCTGGCCCATTCAATCGGGATGTATCTCTTGATTTCGTTTATTGTGAAGCTAATTTTTGTGCTTACTACCTGGCTAATGCTTCTGATAGGTTTGGTGATTTCCACACTATTAATCAACCGCCATTTTTTTTCCCCTAGAAAAGTCGCAGATAATGAGAAGCTGTTGAGTTAGTTTTAGCTTCAGCTTTATCTGTAATCTCTTGTTGAATAATGGATCATCTTTCATTCAAAAAAAATAAAAAAAAATCTGGCACATTCTCATGCTAGAGTCTAGAGCTTTGGAAAACCCACATTTAGAACTATGGCCAAGATAAGAGGGCCGTAATATTTTTGCAATCACTCGTGGGAAGTAATTCGAAAATTTATAGGGGGCATAGGAAAAGTTCAAGAAGAGCATGAGATATTCCAAAATTCAATGAAATTGGTGAGTGAGTGACATGGTATTAAATTATTAATAGGAATAAACTTGAACGCAGTATCCATGAAATTGCAAATGGGTAACATGGGATTTGAATTTTCTAGTCTTATATATCATTCCTATGAGGGTGGGAAGAATAATTATCCCACTTATACCAATCTATATGATAATTCCTTCCCCATTTATAGTATTAAGAATTTTTAAATGAAGTAAAGAAATAGCATTGCATTTACTCGAATAAATGCATCACATTTGCACGAGACCTCAAAAATTTAAAATTGTCAAGAAATGGCATGGAGAATATCAATAAACCAGATTTAATATGCTTCCCATGTACGAGAAAGTTAAAACAGGATATTAGAATTAGAAATTAATAGATAGATAGAAGATGAATATTGAATAACTATTGATAGTTGTATAAAAGAAGAAATAGTATTTATAAGGCGTAAACTATAACTAACCGCTTGTTAATAAATAACTATATTTTTTATACCTATGAAAAATAAAAAAATAACTACATTTTTTAAAACAAGACTTATATATTGAATATATTTTTATCTAATCAAATCAAGGTTAGTGAATTTTAATCTGTTATTAATATTAATACATAATTGTTTATAGAACAAATAATTTATAAAAAATTTGCATGTTTTGATTTCATTAGAAATAAACGTATTAAATATAAAAGGCTAAATATATTAGTTCTTTCATTTTTTTATTTCTCATGCATTAAGGATGATTTTCGTGTTTAGAAAATAAAAAAAATATATAATTTATTTATATATTAAGTATATAAGACTAAATATATATTTCTATGCCACTAGTTAGAATATGTTAACAATCTATTGTGCTTTAAAATTTTGTTACCAGTAACAATTAAAATTAAAAACAACTAATTCTTTTCACATAAATTATGTTAAAAATTGTTGTCATGTACATATTAAAAATATAAAGAATAAACTCTAGAATGCATCGTAGAACTATAGTGCTCCAGCGGAATAAATTACATGGAGATAACATGATTTATTCCCAAATTTATTATCATGAAACTCGTGTATTTTAATTATATAATTATATAATTCATTTTAACAACTTGTTATTTTTCATAAAATAATAAATATTTTTTCACAATTTAAAAATCCGTTATTATCCCTATATATTTTAATCTAAAAGTTATTTTCCCATTACCCAATATATCAAAATTTATTTTATTAATTACTGGTTAGTTTTTAAAATTTGTTACAATTATGAATACAAAAAATATAACTACTTTTTTTTTGTGCAGAATATAATTTCTTTACATTGTTTGAATAAAAAGTAAATAAATATGTAAATTTTTTTCTTGAATTAATATACAAACAAGCTCAATCTCTTTCACCTATTTGAAGCACAGGGTTATCTAACATATATATAAATATAAGCTAAAATTAAATTTTAAATGATTTTTATAACAAAGTCATAATGTATTGAAATATTAAATAAAATACAGAATTTATTATGTAATATGTAATTCTTATTTTGGGTATGAACTATTGTGGAAAGATTTACTGAAACTGAAAAGAAAATCTGATTTACTGAAAATATAAAAATTACTTTTTCAGTAAGATATGAAAATATAAATGCGAAAGATTTCCGAACCCTTCTTCAATCAACACGAAAGATTTTCTCTCATCTATGATATATAGATACAACATATAAATCGGATATGATATATATATATATATATATATATGATGCATCAAAACTTTTAGCATACATTCATAAAACACATGCGCGCTCGCACACATTTAAATTTAATCATTTTATCTTAAATATTAGCTTTTACCTATCATAGAATATTTTAAAATAAAATAAAACAAAATAAGTAATTTACAGCCTAAAATGGAAACATCTTGTTAATAGTAACTAATAAAATATATTTAATAAATATATAAAATATTATTATTAAAAACATATAAGAAAATTTTTTTCAAGGAATTTTAATCTTTGATTTTAAAAGAAAAAATCATAACAATATCAGAAATAAAAAATATTAAAATGATAATATTTAAGGAAATTTATTTTTAAAAAAACATGCCTTAAAGTATCTTTTGAAATAGAGTAAAATGCACTAACCATCTTTTTATCATATCTCTGTTTAAAAATATAAAATATTTTTAACTAAATTTTACCTCTTAATAAAGTAATTACCTAACTTAAAACTAACATTATTTTTTCATATTTATCTCTATTAAACACCCTATAATAAATAAAAAGTTATTTATTAATAGGGATACGTTAAAAAAAATAATGATTATACCTGAAAGATTAAAAATGTCTTATATTTTTTAAATATTTAACTTTTCAAAAAATAACTTACATTTTTTAATGGAGAAAATATGTTTTAACTAAAATATATGTTACATAAATTACCCTTATATATTTGATATTCCATTTCTGTATATCCAACTATTAATTGATGGTTAAGTTTAGTTTTTAATTTTTTAATTTAACCAAAATGCTCCTATTTAACATAAGGATTATCTAAAAATCTATATTTGCCAAAAAAATTCTATTAAAAACATATTTCAAACCAAAGATGGTGAGAATATTTTAATGTTTAAAATATTGACTCACAATCTAAAGTATTGAATATGTATAAATAAATAATAAAAATATTTTTTATTTAAAAATAATAATTTAATATTTTACAGTTACGGATACGAGAAATACAGTGTTAGACCCTTTGGTAGAACCTTTTTCCATAACAATTTTTTATTGATTTTAGGGATAATTCAACTTTTAATCTTTAAGGTTGATTCAATTATTATTTTGATCCTTTAAATTTAATTTTTATCAATGAAGTCCTTTAAATTTACTTCAATTATCTATTTAATTTTTATTGTTTAAAAATGAAATTGTTCGATTAAAATTTGCTAACTTAAATAATAGAATATTAATAGTAACTATATATATTAATTAAAAAAACATAATTGTTAAGGTAAGGAAAAAAAATACTCTAAACTTGTAAAAAAATAAGAGAACAAAATGCATAATAAGAAATTATATTTATAAAAATTGAACTCATTTAAAAATTAATTTATTTTTATTTAACAATATATACATGTCAAATCATCAATACTCTTTACACATTAAACTATTTTGAGAGTCAATTAATATTTATAATATAAAAGACTCACATGATAATTTAAAAAAATATAATATATTAAATTAACAAAAATTAAATTTAAAGGATATGATACTTGAAATAAACTTGATTCTGTCATTTCCCTGTTGCCTCCTTCAACCCCTAATTGTTGATATCGAAGGATCCCCTCCTTTCATCTACTGCAGGAAGCAGATGGCCGCGGAAGGCGACATTCCATGTCTTCCTGAAGAACTCATCAGAAACATTCTCAAACGCCTGCCGGTAAAATCCCTAATCCGATTTCAATCTGCATGTAAGCATTGGAAAAATCTCATCAAGACGTCATCTTTCATCATAGAACACCTGCACCATTCCAGTAATGAAAACCCTTTGCTTCTTTTGCAATGGGATTACAGATGTGATCCTTTGCACTTACATATGCTTAATCATGAGATGCAAATTCTTCAAGTTCAGCCCTCACCTTTGATGGATTTCTTACCATGTGCCACGATCATCGATTGCAGCAATGGCTTGCTGTGTGTTAGAACTGAATATCGTTATGGTGCATGCAATCCTTCCCTTTTCTTGTGGAATCCTGGTACTAGAGAGGTCAAACATGTGCCCAGATTTATTTATGATGATATTAATCACATGTTTTGTCCATATGCATTTGGGTTCAGTCCAATTGTTAATAATTGCAAGATAGTGACATTTCATGAAACTCGGTTTGATTGTGAGGATAATCTAGTAGGAGTGTATTCATTAAGTACAGGGTCATGGAAGTTGATAAATGCTCGGGAGATTTTGGGAGTGCGTCTTCGTCTTTTCCCTGTCAATATTAACGGAGTTATTTTCTGGTGTGGGGAGAGTCTGGATCGTGGTGTCGGTGATGAATGATGATAATGAAGATGATGTTGGTGAAGAACTGATGATAGTTTCATTTGACTTTTACATTGATACCACCTCATCCTACATTAAACTTTGATGCTAGTGGTAGGCTTATTGTATATAAGAATCAACTTGCTATATTTTCTATTACTGTGATTGGGAACTACGAATCGTGGGTGATGGAAGAATGTGCAAGTCCATCCGAGGAGAGATGGAGTTGGAGTAAGAAGTATACTATGAGCATCTCTCTAGGCTTGTATATATCCATGTGGTATTTGGTTCCATGAAATTATCTGCAATACTTTTTTTCTCGAAGCTTTACTGCCTAGATATGATGAAACTAAATATGAAGCAAACGAGGAAGTAATAACGGTTCTACATCTACTAAATATGAGTATTCATGCATTAGAGAACGTAACTATGCTACTTGCAGGTGTGGCTTTGCCTTATCATTTACTTTCAATTATGTAGAAAGCCTCGTACCTCTTTCAGGTGCTTGACTATATTTAATTATAATCCTCATGCTTTTTGGTTGGCCCAATAGCTTGTTGGATTTTACTTGTTCATGATTTCAATTTCAGTTTTCTTTCAAAAGCATTAAAAGGTTATTCCCTTGTAGCTATTATCTTTTTGCAACAAGGGTTTATTGCTTGACTATACCATATACAGAAGCTTGATTATTGGTTTCATTTATTGATGCATTTTTAGGATTCTTTGTGTTTTGATTTGAGGAAGATGCTTTCATGAGAGAGGATACCACTATCTAATATTAGTTCAGTTATATTTCACCCTTAATTTGTTTGTAGACAGATAGGATAAGATGATGATATAGATCAACAACTAAACATAAGATAATAGACTATAAGCAGTGGTCCTTACATGGTTTCGAAGAGTATTAATTTGGCTGGATGAAATTATCTCCGAGAAATTTTTTTTTTTTTTTGTCTAGATATGATGAAACTAAATATGAAGCAAACATTGGAGTGATAGTTGTTCTATACCTATTAGATATTAGTACTCATGAATTAAACAACTTTGATACTCGCATGTGTGGCTATTCCTTGTTAGTTACTTTCAATTATGCACAAAGCCTTGTACTTCTTGGCAATATGTACATGGAAGAGCATTAATCCAAAAGTTTAACTTTTTTTTTTTAAATGAAGGCCAAGATTATTAGAAATAATTTCAAAAATGAAGAGGAAAAAAAAAAGAGGTAGGAAAATGTCATAATTTTCTCATGGGAAAGTAACTAGAAAATTTACATTAGACATAGGATTAGTTTAAGAATAGCATGAGATATATTAAAATTCAATTCAATGAAATTGGTTCACTTTTCTCCTTGGTTTTGTATCTTGATCAGGCCAAGACCATAAGCCAATTTACGGTCATGCCGATTGAACTAGATGGCTTGATCTCGAAAACATTGATATTAATACAAATAAACTTTTTGTACCAAAAAAAGAAAACATAAATAAACTTAAACAAAATTATCGAAGAAAGCACTAATGGGTAACGAGATTTATATTTTCCAGTCTTATTATTCACATCAGGGTGGGAAGAATAATTATCGCTCTTATACTAATCCATATATTAATTCCTCTCCCATTCATAGTGTTGAGAATTTTTAGATGAAGTAAAGAAATAGACATAAAAGAGTGAAACAACTTTTTCAATTCATCAGGTAAAAATATAATTGATACTTGTGGGCCATTGAAACATTTGGACTGAACGTTTATGGTTTCAAATGGAGTTGAGAATTTGAGTAGAGGAATAAGCCTGAACTCAAACAAATTCAACTCCATAAAAAGCTTAAATAGTGAAACCTGTCCTGAATTTCTTCAAGCTTTGAAATGCTGGAATATCTGAATTTTATTTTTAAAATTATTTTTAATTAAGTTTTTACTTTAAAATTAAGTATTATATTTTATAAAAAATATAAAATATATTTTTTGATACTTAAACGATGTATAGGACTCAAATATATAATATTTTAGTATAAAATGATATAAAACTTAAAGAATTAATTAATATTTATTATATTTTATATATTTTTTAAAAAATAAAAAATTTTCATGCTGATTGGGCTTGGCCCAAATATAAAAAAAGTATATTTTTTAAGCCCAATTTTAAATTTTTTCGAGCGAGTTCAGGCTAACTGTAACATTTTAAATTTTAATCTATAAATAATAAAAAAATTATAGAAAATTTTGAGGTATGAAAAGAAAATTAAAAGTATAGCAAATCACTGAGCATTTATTGATGATTAGGATTTAGAAAATGAATAAAATAATTCTCAAAGGAGAATTTATCAAAATAAAACAAATAATAAATATTTAATTTCAGGTGAAAATTTAACAATAATAATAAAAAAAAAGAGAGAGCAGGAATGAATGGATAATAAATAAATAATACATACACACACGCCTGACTATATATAAATATTGGTTTATGATATAATGTATGTGTATATAATATATATTTAAAACAAAATAAACAAAAATGGAAACCACTGGGTGTGGGCCCAAAGCCTACTTATTCCCATTTATTCTACCCTGACACTCGCACACACAACACGCTAAGGGTTGTTCTGCGCGACAGAGGTGAGAGGACGCGTCTCTACGAGCACGAGCAAAGGCAATAATTTTAGAACATACTCCCTCCGGTCCGCAATATTGGACGTTTTCTAGAAGGTAATTCTGGTCCACAATATAAGTCACCAGGAGCTGATGACTGTACATTTTTGATTGAAGTTCTGAAAATACCTTTAGTGGTATGACATTTCTCACGCCTGCCTGTGTCTGTGGATTACTCTCTCTTTCTCCTAAAGTCGAGCTTCTCTCTCACCGTGTTCAGTCTCTGCCGTCGATCGCTTCTCTCATTCTTCCCGTTAGCTCTCGCCTCATCAGTGATCGGCTTTCATTTCTATCTTTCCTCTTCCATCGTGGTCTGCCTCAAACTCGCCGTGAAAGGAGTGGTTTGAAATGTCGATGGATCTTCACCGTTCAAGCTCAACAAAAAAGGGATTTGAAGATCTGTCATGGGATGAGCTAATGGGCTGTACAGTCGACGATTCTCTTGATGGGGAAGAAGATATACCCCGAGTCAACTTCTCTGGAGAGGTGACGTCTCTGAATCGGAAGATTTCGTGGGCACCTGGTCCGAAGGATTCTTCGCTTGGGTCTTCCAATTTTTTCGACGTTGTGGTGGTGCAGCAAAAGCAAGTCCAGTCATTTGATTTGAACGAAGAGGCAACGAAGGACAGTGAAGAAGTGAGCAGTGGCAACGGCAACGGCATATCTGACCGGGGAAGAGAAGGAAAAAAGAGGAAGATTGTCCACCCATTCGATCTGAATAAATTTCCATTTCCAAATGAAAATTATGTGCATCTGACCGAGGAAGAGAAAGCTCGTAAGTGATTTGTGTACGACACTTTGCATTATATGCTCTGATTAGCATTGAATTTCTAGGCCTTCTGTAGTTCTGTATAATTAGTCCAGACTTTAAGCTTATTCTGATGCATAATAGTTTAGTTTATTTTGGTTAGGCTAAAGTTGCATGTCGATGATCTTCTTTTTTGGTTAGTCTGATGGATGAATGTATTGACATTTTAGCCACTTCTGCGTCTCTATTATATTAGAATGATAGATGATGATATTTAAACTAATGGCAAATGTTTTGAATTAGCGAGTTGTTTTGTTTTGTTTTTGAATTAGCAAGCTTTTTGTTTTAGTAAGCTTTTGCATCTCTGTTATGGTAGGGATTACATGTAGCTAGGAAATTACAAATGGATATGCAGTGTCAATATGCAGTGCTGAATATTTAGCTCTTTCATAATTGTGGAGTTAATTTGAATTCTTAAAGAATTTTTTCTTCTTTAATTTGATATGTAGCATCAATATGCATTGTCAATATAGAAATTGTTGGCAAATTATAAACTACCCACTTCATACACAAATTGCTTCATTTACTACAAAATATTGACTGTTAATATTATGTGTTGCAATTTACATGAAAAATTGTAACACAAGATATTAATGACCAAAACATTGAGGCTTCACAAAAATATTCACCCCTTAATCTAATCTATCCATCTACTTCTTCTAAATGTTCTAACACTTCTTGGACTAGGTAGGGATCAAACTTGAGTTGATTAGGCAATTCACCCCTTCTTTCCATCACATCCTTCTTCAAATGGCTTGGCTTGTACTTATTTGAACCTTTGTCCTTTATAACGTCAACCATAGTAGCTTTTAGTGTTAGGAAGATCCTATTCAATTGCTTAGATGTGTAAACTTTAAAGGAATTCTCCACAGCTCTAACAAGGTCCTCTATAGTTTTAGGTGCCTCTTGATATTGTAGTGCTTGAATTACTCTAAAGTATCCAAGATCCAAAATGTTTAAATTAAGGGAGTTGGGGGGTTGAGAAACCAAGCGAATATCAAACCCACAATCACTTGCTGCCATCTAAAAATCCTCATCATTATTATCAATATAACAAGGAGAATTATCTTGCTAAACAAAAATAGTTTCATTTGCATGACATGTTGGCCATTTGGCCTTGATTTCTAGTAGCACTTTGTCAATAAGGAAAGACTTCATGACTTCTTTTGTAATTGAAGTGATTGGTTTTGTTTCCATTGTACCTCTGCTTTTGTTCACACTCCTTCTTCTTGCTGCCTCTTTTCTAATAAAAGGGAACAAACCAATCTTCCCATAGAAAATTTCATTTCCTTGTGCATCAAATCTAGGTCTAGCCACAGTAACTAGGAACATAACTTTACCAACATAGTTCTTGTTTTTACATGTTCGATGTGGTGGCTCCTCCCCCGCTGCCAAGTAGTAGGTTTGAGATTTCTTTATCATGTAAAACTATTTTTTATCAATATGGATAATGTTGTGCATAGATTGGAAAGTTGGGTCATTTGGTATACTTTGTTGCTCTTGCATAGATAAACACCACCTCAACCGAGCAAGCGTGTTTTGCTCCTTCAAATATGGTTTGATTGCACTTGTGTGGTGCCATAAAACTCCTTTTTTTTAAGTTTGATTAGTGATGTCTTGTTAACACCTAGTGCACTTGTAAGAGACCTATAAGTAGTCCGTCGATGTACCAGAATTGCCATGACTTGTTCCATGTTCACGTTAGGTCCCTTTCTTCCACACTTGTTTGTCTTTCTATAGCTTGCATCCCCTATTTCCTTAACTTGACACCAAATGCGTTGAATGACTCTGATTGAAACTGAATATGCTGAAGCTATCTCTCTTGTTGTAATACTGTTCAGTTTACCTTGATAGCTTGAGTTAATTAGATCTTGTAAATGGAGACACGTTCTTCATTTGATAAGAACCTTCTTCTTTTACATGGTGGCTGCCCTGGTGATTCAATTGTGTTGCGTCCCATATCTGTCTCTGTATCAAAAGTTTACAAATGTTAGATTTCTTGATAGACCATATAATCTAATAAACTTTTTTTCCTTTTTTGTAGAAAAAATGAGAATTTATACAAGTTGCTGTGGGTGAGCTTTTAAAACTGTGAGGATACCATTAAACACAAAAGTTTCTGTAGGTGAGTTTTTAAGACTGTCAGGATACTAGTTGAGCACAAACTAAGGTATAAATTTTCTTTTTGAATTGCTGCATAGAAATGGAAAAGATTGATGCTGTTGCTTACCTTGAAAAAGGAAATTTATAGTCCCTAGGCGCAATTGTTAAATTTCATATTTTTTTCATTTCATAAACCATTTCGTTCATTCTTAATTTTTTTCTCAATTCGAACACTGTCGTCTAAAAAGAAAGTTCAAGCACCATCAACTCCCACCTTTGAGGCATCACTACTCACGCCCATTTTTTGCTGCAAAAGTTATCGTCGTTGCCATTGACATTAATATCAGAGCCACCATTGCATATCACAAACCCCAACTCATAGCATCCCTTTCTTATTTGGGGGCTTTTACTCTCTCGTCCCTTATCATCATTGTTGTCGCCGGTGAAGTTATCTCAACAGAGATGAGGCAAGGGTGAGGTTTTGATTTCTTCATGTACATTTTTTATCTTGGTCATTGATTTATTTTTTCCTGATTTTCAATCTGAAACACGATGAATGGCACTAGTGTGAGACATTTCTTCATTATTAGTTGATTCTTTTTCAATAGCTGTGATATCTGTGGAATGAGCAGCATGCCTAATTTGAGGTAAATATTGGATAACTCTATTATGTCATTTTTCTTTATTTGTGATGTTTAGATGTAAGCTTTATGTGCATATGTTTCACGGCAAGACTTTGTTTTTGTGCTTGTGACAATTTTTTTTACTTTCTTTATCTCAACTCAATTTTTCCTGAAGAATATACACTCTCAGATAAGAATGGCTGCTTTTGTTTTATTTGGTAATCCAAAAGTGCTAGACTCTCGCCCTAATATATTTTAAGAGCTCACGAGAGTTCTCATATCTAGAAGCTTGTATCTATGAGCAAGGAAATTTACCCTCACATTTATTTTGAAAAATATGTTCATGTTGGCTTTGGCAGTTAAAGGTTCAATACTTCCATGACCATACTACTGTAACAATAGTCATTGCATTGAAATAGTCACCTATTATTGATTCTTCTGCCACCATTGGTACTCCAACCATTGTGTGTGGCGCTGAAGTAGGCTATGATACTGCATCTGGTGCTTTTAACAAAGACATTGATGGGATTGGTGTGACTAAGCCTGATTCATATGCTTCAAAAATCCTGTAAGTTTTTGGCATCTGGTATCATGATAATTGTTCTAAATCTTTAATAATTCAAAATGATATTGAGAAATGTTTAAATTGTTTTAGTAGTGACAAGGGAAACAACATTAGAGCATCATTTGATTTCTACTTATGGTTATGTCATCCTAATGTTCAACTTCATATTTCATATATGTGTTGTATTACCATATGGTGTTATTGGTTGTTTCAGTGTTGTCTTCTTCTATCAAAGCTGTCATCGGAGATTGTGGGTGAACATGTAGAACTTGAGAGATTATACGATTCTGTCAATATAATATTATCACTTCACATTTTATAAACTGAACTAAATCTATGAATTTATTAGTCAATAATGCATTATAATTTTCTTTGCACAGTATAAAATGAAGATGGTGGGTGGGGAGAGAGCTATCTTTCATGTGCTAGAAAGGTTGATTTTTATCATTGAAGCCATTTAATGCCATTTTACTGTACGTTTTTGTTTAATCATGTTCTCTAACTTATCAGCTGAACATAAATAATTTAGATCATTGAAAGAAGAAATAACTAAAGATGGGGATATTCATGGGCTTCATAAAGAGAGAGATTCTTACCATTTCCTTCATTGATTGTAACATGTTGCTCTTCATTTTGATTGCTATTCAGGTGGACATTCTCACACATGGGAGGAGCATTTAAGTCTAAAGAAATGGTGTTGTTGTCCCCACTATCTTCCTTATTGGCTGGAGCATTTAAATCAAAGGAGAAGGAGCACTTTTCCATAGTGGAAAAGTGCAGTTTTTGTGCCTTTCTTTTATGTTGTTTTCAATGCTGTCTGATTCCCTTTTAATAGGATATAAGTTTCTTAAAATGTGAAACACTGCCTCTAATTTTTCATTCCCAGGTGAAGGCTCAATTTTTCACTGTAAATGCCTCATTTTCACTATAAAAGGCTCTATTCCCACTAGAAGACTCATATTGTCATTGTAAAAGTCTTGTACTATCACTGTAAAAGTCTCATACTTGATAAAGCATGAGAGAGAAATTCTGAAAATAATAATTTATTCATTGATTGTACTTTTGCCTTTTTCATTTTGAAGGGTAAATTTGAAATTTCATTGACAATTATTCTTTATACTTTTATTGTATTAGTATTGATGAGGTTGGTAGAAATGACTTATAAATAAGACCGAAGGGAGTAGGTTACAAAGGGTGATTTTAAATTTTGAAAGACCAGGTAAGTGTACTATATTTTTAACTCTGTTTATTCATCTTCCTAATTTTTATATTTTTACAGTGAAAAGTCTAGGTGTGATCTATTTAAAAAGAAAGTTGTGAATCATTTTACTAACGAATAATTTTTCTAATAATGTATTTAGATCTATTTTAAGGTAATCTCTATATATGAATTGTTTATCAAATTTGAGAACTCTTATCATACGGTTTGAGATTAAAGAATAAAGTTTTGAGATGAACAGAGACTTAAAATCATGCTTTCAAATTATTAAAAAAATATTTATTAGAGTAATGAATATAGATAATTTTAGAGAGGATTTGGGTTCTTTAAGGTAAGCTTTGAGTAACATTAGAGTCACCTTAGAGTAACTTTAGATTAATCTTTTAGCAGTTGTAAATTAGATATTAATGTTTTTGTATATATATAACTTTTGTAGACTCTCATTAAGAGCTCTTACTGCTTGGACTCTTATGGTGCAATTTCTTGAAAACAAAAGGAAAATAGGTAATTTGGGATTTTTTATATGTATGTAAGCTTTGTATTTGATAATAAGTGTGAATAATCATAAATTTAATTATGAGAAATTATATGTTACTTGAATCTTGTCAAGCATGCTTGTACCTTGGCTATATATTATTGTTTCTTTTCAAGCATGCTTGTGAATGCAGATTAATAATGCATATTTTATGAAAATTGTATATTGTTGAAGAGTAGTTTATTTCTTTCAAACATGTTTGTAAATTGAGTTAATTGAATGAGATATTTTTACTTCCTTTCAAGCATACTTGTATGTGATATAAATGTTGTATATGTCTAGAATACATTGGGGAATGATTGATGAGGAGATGATGATGTTGATGTATAAATGAATTAGTAACCACATGGTTTGCCTCCACTGCGCGCATACTTACCTAGCCAGGTTTGTAAATGGAGAACATGGAACTGTGATACCTTTTGTGTTCTTCAAGAAGGGGAGCTATATTCTGGGTTTGGGCTCTATACCTTTGGCCAAGTACATCTTAAGCTCTAAAGAAGCTTGATCAGTCTAATATTTAGGCTGCACCTTATTTAAGTCTATGATTTCAGTCAGCAGAATAAAGTTGGATGGAGTAATAAGAGAGATTATCGGTATTGCATATTAGTATGTTATAAGTTATATCTTATGAAATTCTTATAATATTATTGAATAATTCTTATGAATACATGTATAATTATTATATAATTGTGTGGCTATGGTTTGTACATATATGATTAAATTTTGAATTATTAAGACATTAATACTCACCCCTTCTTTTAACATTCTTGTGCAAGCTTAGTAGAGCAAAAAAAAGGGAAGCTTCTATGTTTTGTCATTTCTCAAGTTCAATGTACTATGATGGCAACTTGAGGTACTGTAGCATGCAAGACTCCGCAAGTAATCCCTGCGAAAGGTATTCAAAACCAATCCAAATCGAAAGGACCGATTCAAACCAACCTAGACCGAAAAAAGTCAATTAAAATCAAATAACAATCAAGCCTGCTTCAGTTTTTATGATATGAGAACCGATTGGTTTGGTTCAAGTTCGATTTTGAGTATAAAAAACTGAACCAAATCGAGCCAAACTTGATTAAAAAATATTGCTTATTTATTTATAAAATATATAACCATTTATCTACAAGAAGCATTTTGTTTTGAATTTTTTATTGTAATAGATAAACATTTTTAAAAGATTTGAATGGAAATGCATAATATTAAATAATTTTAATCTTAAAAATTTATTTTAATTTTTTATGATTAATTATCGTTATCACATTAAAATTTTATTATATTTTTATACTTCTATTTATGGAAAAAAAAGAGCAAAAAAGAATTAGATTTAATTTTAATACATAGCACCATTATGAAGATGAAAAAAATTTAAATAAATACATTAAAGCTCGATTCAAACTTTAACCAAACCAAACCAAATTAAAAATTAAATCAAATCAAATCGAGTTTTATAAAAATCAATCAGATTTTAATTATAAATAAATCAAATGACTCTGTTTGGTTTGATTTTTAGTTAAAACCAAATTAAATTAAACATATGAACACCCTTAAATTTCCCTCCCACTTCACATTCCTAGTGTCACCTTCCTCTCATAAAGGCAGAAGTACTTTGAGTCTGAGCAGACGAAGCAAAGCCCGAGGGGGTGGAGGATCTAAACCCTAGAGTTCCTCTGAGAGATTACTCTTCTTCCTCGCCTAGCTCGATGAAGCATATTGCTATGGATGGCGACTCACCCTCTCTTCCCGAGGAAATCATCACCACCATTCTCAAGCGACTTCCGGTAAAATCCCTTCTCCGATTTCAATGTGTGTGCAAACTTTGGAAAAATCTCATCAACACCCCGTCTTTTATTGCTGATCACCTCCATCACTCAACTCATCATAACCCTTGTCTTCTTTTCCATGGGAACGATCAATTTCTTGCCCAGTTAAGGTTTCACTTACTTGATTGTGAAATGCAAGTCCGTCAATTTGAGAACATTAACGCTCCTTTAGTCGATCCCTATTCGATGGCTAGCATCATTTGTTCCTGCAATGGCTTGCTCTGTGTTGAAATCGATAAGCATAGCACATCTCCTTCCTCCATTTTAAGCTATTAGACAGGCAAGTCGAGTGCCTAGAAGAAACATAGATGATTTTGAGGGTGTTTGTTACTTTGGATTTGGGTTTAGTCCAATTGTTAATGATTACAAGCTAGTTAGAATAATTTATTCCGGTGGGTTTGGTTCTCTGGTTAGTCAAGTGGAAGTATATTCATTAAGCACAGGGTCATGGAAGGAAATTGACTTTCGCAACTTGGTGGGTGTGACTCCTATTAATGAAACTATCTCTGTTAATGGAACTATGTTTTGGTCTGATTTTGACCTATCTGGGAAGAATCAGGGTAATCGTACTCTTAGTTCCATAGATCGTTGTTTTACTATGATAATTTCATTTGATATAGTAACGGAAGAGTTCAAATTGATACGAAAGCCCGCCATAAACTCTCCTACATCAACTGCACGCCTTGATGTGTATGGGAACAAGCTTGCTTTACTTTGTCAAACTAATGTTAGACGCTTTGAATCTTCAATGATTGAGTTGTGGGTTATGGAGGAGGTTGCATCAAGTGAGAAATGGAGCTGGATTAAGATATATAATATAAGCTCCTCTTCTGGCACGTTCCGTCCCTCCATTGTTCGGAGGAATGAGATTGTCGGCGACATTCATGAAATAGAAGAAATAGAAAATAGCATACCGATAACTGTTCTCAGAGGAAAAATTGTTCTATCGCTGTTTAATCTCAGTACTTATGGTGTGAAGAGGTTTACTATCTGCCATTGTGCTGATGCATTTTCATGCATCTGCAATCATATTGAAAGCTTGTACTGGTTGGCAATATCCATACTGAAGAGCCCTGATTCTAAATCTTGATCATCATCACATTGCATGTTTATTTTGTTTAAGCACTTTTGGTGGAAACAAACTTAAGACCATTTGATTCAACTTGTAATTCATGATGGATGCTGATATCCATTTCTAGATGTTTCCTGTTTTGTTTGACTTATGTAATATCAAGTTATTTTGTTTCCTTCTAGTCGCTAGTGTATGAAGTATGTGGGACTCTTTGTTCATATAATATGCCAATGGGTTTACCATCAAATGAATGGGAAGGAAGTAATTTAAGCAAATATGAGTTTCTTGCTCTTTATTTTCACTTTTGGTGGAGAAATGAATTAGAAACACTGGTTTTGTAAGTAGCTTTTTATCTCACTAGAGGGTATTTGCTGTTTGGATTATTGATGGATTATAACATATTTGGCTGTTTGCCAAGAGTTTCTTGTGAATGCACTATACAAAGTCACTGTTATTTGATTCTATTCCAATCGTGCTCAGAATCACCCTCATACATGTTTTGATGAAATATGCTTAAAATCTATTACTTATAGGCTAAGTTCAGTATTTTTTGGTCTCTTGTATTGTGAAATACATTTAGTTTCTTTCTTCGGTTCAAGAGAGACATTTGTTAAATATCTTTTGTTACACATACAGAACTAGGAAAATAAACATTTGAGACAAATTGTCCTTTATTAAATAGTGACTTTACTACTTATTACATGAACTCGTCAATTTCTTATTGCAGATATGCTGTATCTCTAAATCTGATATCAGGTACTTAAGTTTGTTGATTATTACATACCAAGTTTATTTTTCTAATTGTAACATTATTTTGTTTTTTTAATAACAAGTTATGAATTCATGGAAGGGTATTCAAAACTAATTCAAACCAATTACACCAAACAAAATCGACTTAAACCGTTCAGAAATGACTATATATAAGGTTTGATTTGGTTTTTATTTTAGTAAAACAGGTTCGTTTGGTTTGATTCAGTTTTATTAGTGACGCACTCTTCAGACATGCTGTGCTTTGATTTGAGGAAGATGCTTTCATAAGAGGATACCATTATTTAATATTATTTTATTTATATTTCACCCTTTATTTGGAGACACATTGGATGATAAGTCAATAACTAAAACCCTTAATTCTACATTGCGCTAGTTAAAATCCGTAGCACATTCTCGAGCTACAAAAAACCAGCATGTTGAACTAGGGGTGTTCATGAGACAGGACGGAATTGGGACACTCCCATCCAGTGTCCCGTCCCAAAAAAAAGATCGGGACTAATTTTGATCTCGTATCCCATCCCGTCCCGTTAAGAGTCGGAACGGGACTGGGACAAGATTGGGACGTCCTGCTGTTCCGATAAATGAAATAATATCGAAAAAAAATCTGGATAATAACGTTTATTAAAATTTTAAATTATATAATTTATTAAATTTAAAATTAAAACAACACAAGTACATAAATGACAATAATTTAAAATTAATTATTGAATTATATTAATCACAACTACACATTATAATAACAAATACAAGTGATCTTTATGCTATAAGATTAGCAACAATAGGCAAGTCAAATACAATATCAAATCATTGTTCTTCTACTTTAGTGAAGATGTGCTAAGTTAATTACTCTTCTAAAAGTAAAGCAAGAAATACGTTATAAATAAAAGTTATTAGATGGATATAAAAATAAATTATATTAATATAATTAATATATGATAAGGAAAGATATCACCATGTTTATTCCATGCCATTAAAATTATCAATATAAAAAAACTTTAGTTTTAAATAAGAATTGCAAGTATTAAATTATAATTGATATAATTAATATAAGTATAAATTATATTAATATAATTAATATATTTAAAATAAAAAATAATATATATAATATTCGGGACGGGACGAGATGTCCTGATGGTAATCCCGTGTCCCGTCCTGTACCAAACCCCTTTCTTGTCCCGTCCCATAAAGTTCCGTCCTGATTATTTTCGGGTCGGGACAAGACCCGTCCCGATATAATCGGGACAATACTGGGCCAATCGGGACGGGTCCAAACTGAACACCCCTATGTTGAACTTCGGCCAGTAAAGGAACCTTTGTAGAAGGCCACTGGCATTAAATAAAAAACAAAGAAACTGCAGAACTATGGCCAAGATAAGAGGGTCGTAATTTACATTGGGCAAAGGAAAAGTTCAAGAAGGACATGAGATATTCTAAATTCAATCAAAATTGGTTAGTGAGTGACATGCATGGTATTAAGTTATTAATAGGACTAGACTAAAATTTTCCAGTCTTATTATTCATACCACGATGGGAAGAATAATTGTTCCTCTTATTATTCATATTAGTATTAAGAATTTTTAAATGGAGTAAAGAAATAGCAATGGAAGAGTTAAACAAACAAGCTTTCTGATTCATGAGGTAAACACATGATTAATATTTTTAAAGTTTAAATCAAATCATCGCCTTATTGTTGTTGCTGATTATGATGCTGGGAGGATGCCTAGCCACAACCTTAAGTTCCTGTACAATGCCGCTTGGTCGATGGAAGACAGCTTTAAAGAAGTAGTGCAGAATTCCTGGGAGGACTAGAGGGTGTGGAGGGTACCCATATTTTCCCATCTGAGGCTACCAGGTGGAATGTTGACATTATAGGAAGCATACCAAGAAAGAAAAAAAAAAGAGTTGATTAAGCGGCTAGAGGGGATTGATAAAGCCTGAAGTAACAGTGATTGGAATGGCGTGAGGAAATTGGAGAATTGGCTTTGGAAGGAATATTATAAGCTTCTCTCCCACGAGGAGTTGATTTGGTTCCAAAAATCCTGATGCAAATGGTTGAAATAGGGGGACAAACACACTAGATTCTATCATGCTTCCACCATTGTTAAGAGAAGAAGAAAGAGAGTTGATGCACTGCAATCTGAACAAGGAGAATGGATTACAAACCAGACTGTGTTGAAAAATATGGCTGCTGATTTCTTTCGAGCCCTTCATACTAAGATTGATGTAACCTCGGATGCAGACGTAGTGCTAAGTAATTTTCCCACCCTCACGGATGATAATCTAACCAATATTCAAAGAGATATAACTAATGAAGAGATCAAATATGTAGTCTTCTCTATGGGGTGCATTTTAAAGCCCCTGGTCCAGATGGCTTAAATGCTCACTTCTATCAAAGTCAATGGAACACAAATGGTGAAAAAATTTGTAGCTTTGCTAGAGAAGTTTTCAATAATCCAAGCAAAGTTGAAGAAATTAATCAAACACACATATGCTTGATTCTAAAAGTTGGCCAACCCTCTTACATGAAAGAGTTTAGAACCATTTCTTTACGTAATGTTAGCTTGAAGATTATCACCAATATTGTGGCAAACAGACTCAAGAATTTTATGGACCTTCTGATAAAGCCAAATTAGTGTAGCTTTATAGTGGGCCACTAAAGTAGTGATAGCATCATTATTGCCCAAGAAGCCATTCACACCATGCGAGCTAAGAGAAAGCACAAGAGGTATAAGGCAATTAAGGTAGATTTAGAAAAAGCATGTGATAGATTGGATTAGTATTTTATCACCCATACTACTAAAAGAATTGGAATAAGAGATCACTTTACAAATATCATCATGGCTTGTATTTCCACATCTTCGATGAAGGAAACTTAGAATAGGGAACAATGAAATGAGTTTAAACCTTCAAGAGGAGTTTGCCAAGGAGATCCCTTAAGCCTTTATATTTTTGTTTTATGCATGGAAAGACTTGGCATGCTAATTCATTAGCTATGTGAGACCGGAAGCTCTTGAAGTTGTTAGTAAGAGGACCTTCTATCTCTCACCTCTTGCTGATGACCTAATTTTGTTTACGGAAGCTTCGCTGGAGCAAGCCACGCTAATTAAGTAGATTATGAAACTGTTCTATTGAGAATTAGGACACTGCATGAACCTCGGCAAAATGAAGCTCTACTGTTCTAGGAATGTTTGCTTTCAACACTCTCTGGAGCTAAGTCAACACCTAGGTGTGTGTCTTACTGCTGATCTTGGCAAGTCAACACCTGGGTGTGGGTCTTCTTAATAGACCTGAATGTCTATGGGTTCAATTCTTAAAAGCTAAGTACAACTGCAGATCCAACTCATCGCCTGTGGTTATGGAAAATAGGTCTGCTTCACATGTCGGGCAAAGTATCTCCAAGATTTGGGGAGAATTCATACAAGGAGTGAGTAGAAAAATTAGGAATGGCACTACAATGAGTTTTATCAATGAGCCCCTTTAGAGCAACCCCTGATTGAATATGTCTCAAATGATGAGTATCCCATTGACCCAGAGGCCAAGGTATGTGACTTTATTCTCCCCTCAGGAGCTTGAAATAGAAAATATCTCCTAAGATACTTCTCAAGTGAAATTGTCAATAGAATTTCTATTGTTTCCTTGTGTAGTAACTAACAAAATGATTTATTATAATGGAGGCTTGGCAGTGATAGGAGATTTTCTATTCATTCTACTTGTATTTTTGCTGGAAGGTAGTGTGTTCTCTAATAAGAACTCAATATGGAAATGCTTATGGAAATGGCCCTTATAGTAAAAATTGAAATTTTCTTCTAGCAAATCCTTCATGAGAGGCTTCCTACCAACTTGGAGCCAAAAGAAACATTATACCAATGGCACAAACTGTCCTTTTGAGTGTGAATGTGAGGAGAACACTTTACATATATTGAGAGATTGTCTGAGAGCAAAATAGACATGGAAGGAAATTACTAATCTTGTTTATTATGACTAGTTTTTCTCATGTAGCTTAAAGGAATGGATCAATTGGAATACAAAACATCAAATTAGCCATGGAAGTTTTACAGCTTGGCCCTGGATCAAGTTATCTGGCAATGTGTGTTGGCTGACATAACACTTTGCTGTAAGGACATTTTTGAAGGGATGCAATACACTACCCGTGAAGTATACATCTGTGTAGAAGAAGACTGTTAGAAGAAAGAGACTTGGGTGCCCTCAATTTCCAACACCAGAATCATATAAATGCTCATGGCTATAAGTGGACTGCTCCAGCGCAAGAGTGGACAAGAGTTGATGTAGATGCCTCTTGATTCCATCATTAGAATAACGCTGCTTGCAGAGGACTTGTTCGGAACTCTGAGGGATTGGCAGCTTCTTATGCAATCTAGGTAATGTACCCATGACAATTGCTGAGGTTCTAGCTATAAAAAAGGGAATTATGCTATGCAGAATGCTCAATGTAGAAAAAGTAAGGATACATTCGAATTCTTTAAAGGCAGCGGGATATATTTATTGAGGAGTGAACTGTAATCATCCTTTTTTGATGAGATATTTGAAGTGCAGGAGCTAATCTTTGCTCATAGTAACTATCAACTCTTGCATGCTCTAGTGAGGCAATGACATTACCTGGCTTCAATAGCACACGAATCTCCAAATGGAACAACCTTTCTCACAATCCCACCCAAGGAGTGTGAGGATATTATTTTGAATGACTATAGTAGAGGTCTGTCTCGCTAAGTTCTATGTTTTTTTGACTCTTTAGATCTTATTTTATGTAGCCTCTAGTTTCGATTGGCCTTCTTTGTGAGGGGAAAAATTATTATTGTTTTGCTTGATTTCCAATAAAATAAAAGTACGATCTCATTTCAATACTAAAATGGATCTGGTCATAAAGCCCTTGTTTAAATTCCAACTATCCTTTAAAAACAAATTTTTGTTAAAAGTTGCTTGGAATTTTTTTTAAAAAATGATAAATAAATCCCTTCAAAATAAGAAAATAATAGTTTGGTCCCACAAAATATAATAAAGACTTCTAAGTCCTACAAAACCTAATTGTCATTAAAGTTTTTAATAAAAAGACAAAAATACCCCTTAATTTTAAAAAAGTGCAACAATTTTTTTGTTCACAATTTTAGTTTTAAAATTCACAACTCTAGTTTAGCAAGTGATTGAAGTGATTTATGCATTTACAACTTTTTCATAATTTTTCTTTAATCAACTAAGTTTTTTTCTTTCATAACTTTGATTCTAGGATTCACAATTATGATTCAGTAAATGACTAAAGTGATTTAGGCATTTAAATTTTTTTCTTACCATTTTTTCCAGTCATCAAAATGCAGCAAAGTTTTTTTTATTCATAACTTTGATTCCAAAATTCACAAGTCTGATTCAATAAGAATAAAGTGGTTTAAACATTCACAACTTTCTTTCTTCATTTTTTTAAATTTAAAGATTTTTTTCTCATTTATCAAGAACTTCAATGATAATTAAATTCTTTGAGACTTAGAATGTATTGTTACGTTTCCTAATATCAAAGTTTGTCATTCTCCCATTTTTTTTATCTTTTTTAAAAAAATTCATTTTTAATGTTTTTAAAATCTCTATGTACTAAAAGTTGAATCTAATCTAAATTATTTTCTTGTTGCTAAAAAAATCTAAATTATTTTCTAAAAAGTACTCTTACTTTTGAACTATTTCTAGTTTCTTTTCCATACTACTAAAATTTGGGCTATAACTAATTTTTAAAAAAAGACCATAAAGTTACGCCTTGATTTGAAGTTATAAAAGAGAGTTTAAAGACTTGTCTTATAATTTCTTTCGGCCAACTAAAGGCCTTTAATTAGTTATAAATAAGAATTCTTGACATATTCAGATTTTGTTAAGAAAAAGGACAAGATTATCAGATAATTTCAAAAATAAAAAATAAAAGTATTTATTTATTTATAATTAATTTTTAAGTTGAATGTATCTTACCTCGAGTATTGTAATTAGGCCCTGTTAGCCAAGGATTGGGATTGGGACTAAAAAAACTCAACTTTTTATGTTTAGTATGAATCATTAAACAACTAAATCCAATCTCAATCTCACCTTACATGAATTGTTTAGTACTACCCACCACCTTAGGTTTGTAAAATCATTTTTGGGATTGAACATCTCTGAACCAAATTGTCCTCACCCATATCTCTCCCTCTCTCGCATCTCTTCCCTTCGTGCAACTTGATCTATATGCTACGTCTAGCTGCTAGGAAATCCTCTTCTCAAGTTTCGATTTGCACATACCTCAACACTTGTTTTAAGGAGGCGAAGCAGGAAATTGCAAGGGAGGAAGAGACGCAGGTGAAGGAGCAAAAATCAAAGTCAGAGAGACACAGAACATCGACGAAGAAGGAGATGGAGGAAGAGGAAAGATTGGAGTCGGAGACATCATTGACTTCCTCTAGATCTGTCGCATTCAAACCTAAAACTAAAGCTGCACTATGGTGATCTGCTACATTTGACTTTTTTTAGACCTCACGAGCTAGGTCAATTTTTTTAAGTGTAAGGGATATTATAGTCTATTCATAACTTATATTTAATTATAAAATAAAATAAAAATAAATATTTTTTATATATATTACTCCGTATCAAATATAATTTTAAAAGCTCATTTTCGTTCTTACTCTCACTGCTAATACCAGCACCAATCCTAATTTCAATTCCTTTAAATTAAAGCCTATTGCCTAACGGTCCACACTCCCCAAGCAACCTCCCTGCCACTTCATATGCCAGAGTGTGTCACCTCTCTCTCTTGTAAAGGCGCAAGTTCTGTGACTCTCAGCACGCTATGATGATCCATCTCCGTAGCAAAGCCAAGGGTTGGAGGATCTAAAAGCCCTAGAATCCTCTGAGAGATCCTTCTTCTTCCTCGCCCAGCTCGATGAAGCAGATTGCTAGGGATGGCGACTCACCGTTTCTTCCCCTGGAAATCGTCACCGACATTCTCTAGCGACTTCCGGTAAAATCCCTTCTCCGATTTCAATGTGTCTGCAGACGTTGGAAAAATCTCATCAACACCCAGTCTTTTGTTGCTGACCACCTCCATCACTCAGCTCATCATAATCCTTGTCTTCTTTTACATCGGAATGATCAATTTGTTGGCCGGTTAGAGTTTCATTTACTTGATTGTGAAATGCAAGTCCTTCAAGTTGAGAATGTTATCGCTCCTTTAACCAATCCCTATTCGAGGGCTAGCATCATTTGTTCCTGCAATGGCTTGCTTTGTGTTGTAATCGATTATTTATTAGATTACCTCCCTCTATTTTACTGTGGAATCCAGCTATTAGAAAGGTGAGTCAAGCGCCTGCAAGAAACATAGATTTTAAGGGTGTTTGTTATTTCGGATTTGGGTTTAGTCCAGTTGTTAATGATCACAAGCTAGTTAGAATAATTTATTCCGGTGGGTTTGGTTCTCTGGTTAGTGAAGTGGAAGTATATTCATTAAGCACTGGGTCATGGAAGGAAATTAACTTTCGCAACTTGAAGGGTGTGACTCCGATTAATGAAACTATCTCTGTTGATGGAACTATTTTTTTGGTCTGCTTTTGACCTATCTGGGAGGGAGCAGGGTGATCGTTCTCTTGGTTCCAAAGATCGTTGTTTTACTATGATAATTTCATTTGACATAGCAACGAAAGAGTTCACATTGATACGAAAGCCTGCCATAAACTCTCCTCATCCAACTGCAAGCCTTGATGTGGACGAGAACAAGCTTGCTTTACGTTGTCAAACTAATGTTGAAGACTTTGAATCTTCAGTGATTGTTGGTTTTGGAGGAGGTTGCATCAAGTGAGAAATGGAGTTGGAGCAAGAAATATAATATAAGTTCCTCTTCTGGCATCATACACTGTTTGGAGGAATGAGATTGTTGGCGACGTTCATGAAGATAAAAACAACGGGGGACGGATAACTGTTCTTTCTCTGTTTAATCTCATAGTACTTGTGATGTGAAGAGGTTTGCTATCCCCCATTGTGGTGATGCATTTTCATGTATCTGCAATCATTCTGAAAGCCTTGTACCAGTTGGCAACATACATATTGAAGAGCCTTAATTCTAAGTCTTGATCATTACATTGCATGTTCATGTTGTTTTAGCACTTTTGGTGGAACCAAACTTAGACCATTTGATTTTACTAGTTTGTAATCCATGATGGATGCTGATATCCATGTCTAGATGTTTCCTGTTTTGTTTGACTTGTGTAATATCAGGTTATTCTGTTTCCTTCTAGTTGCTTGTGTATGAATTATGTGGGACTCTTTGTTCATATAATATGCTAATGGGTTTAACACCGAATGAATGGGAAGAAAGTAAGTAAAGCAAATCTGTGTTTCATGCTCTTTATTTTCATTTCTGGTGGAGAAATGAGTTAGACTCACTAATTTTGTAAGTAGCCTTCTATCTTACTGGTGGGTGTTTGCTGTTTGGATTATTGATCGAGATGATGAGAATTTCTGGCTAACAAATTTGCACACTCATTTGCCTCCCTATAAACAAAACTAGCAGACCGAGACTTTTGAATCAAATTCTTGCTGCGTTCAGTTTCTATTACTGAAATTTGAATTTGAAACTGAAAAATAATGTTTAAAAAAGGATGTAATTTTCTTTCCTTAAAAAAATGACATGGCTTAAGTCTGACTCGAGGTAGACAATTTTACACTAAAAAAAAAAAAAACATTTGTCATTATTTGATGAGTTGTTCCTTCCCTCTCTCCTCCGCTCTACATTCGTCAATTTATTTCCAAAGCATTTTTGTATTTTTGAGATTTTTTTAATTATTTTCTGATCAATTAATGTTAAAATTTAATTTTTATTAACAACAAGAGATAAATCACACTGTTTTCAAACATTTAGGAAATGATTTGTAAAATAGATAATTCAAAGTTTATAGTATTACTAGAATTAAAGTTCAAGAATATTTTACTCATTTACCGTTTTCTATTTCACAAGTTTACTATTAAAAATAAGGTTTAATGAGCAACATTAACCTTAAATTCTTACTTAAAAAACATTTTAAATTTTAAACTCTTAAAATATATAAAATAAACTTTGAACTTTTAAATTTGCTAACTGTTATATTTTTTTTAACATTGTTATTGTTTATTGTGGGTCTCAATTAATTAACGTCAAAGATCTTAAACTACTAAGTGAGTAGCATCTTGGATTTGAATTTTAAAATTTTGACCAAATTACTCCTATCATTTATATATGAATATTGATTATTATGTAGATTAAATTTAATCTCAATGTGTTTTTTCATGATAAATGTATTGTCCGTTGTGACAAACCATTTATGATTTTGTGAAATTATTTTTTTAATTTTTTTGTGATATTTTTTAAATAATTGGTATTTTATGCGTTTACATACTTTATAGCTTTAATTAATATTATTTTAAATAATATTTATTTTTTTAATGATGAGAATTTGAGATTTCGTCTTCGACAAGTTTCTTTCTGTGATACAAATCAACCCCGGCCCTGAAATACTTGCCGTTCATTGCGATTGCTTTCCTTTGAGAAATCTGTTCTTCTCCGCCGAGCACTATCACGCTGACGGTAATGGATCGAGTCGCGCCATTTCTTCCCAAGAAATCATCAGAAACATTCTCAAGCGACTTCCGGTAAAATCCCTAATTCGATTTCAGTGTGTCTGCAAACATTGGAAATATCTCTTCGAGACCCGAGTAATCGAAATACTGCTCTTCTTTTCCAAAGGAATGACAGATTTAGTGATTTTCTGCGTTTATTTGGCAGAGAAGGTCCTTTAAAATTGTATTTACTCGATCGCGGGATGCAAGTCATCAGAGTTGAGAACGCTTTTTCGATCGATTCCATGTCGGGTCTTAGGGTCGTCGGTTCTAGCAATGGCATGCTGTGTATCGAACGCACTAGTTTTAATTATGTTAACGCGTTTCTCTTATGGAATCCCGCTATTAGAGAGATCAAACAGGTTCCCAGATATGTTTTTGATTTTGAAGGTGATTTCTATATCGGATTTGGTTTCAGTCCAATTCTTAATGATTACAAGATAGTGAGAATTTATGTTCCCTTTTATAGTGATGAGTCTAATCTAGTACAAGTGTATTCATTAAGCACAGGGACAAGGAAATAAAATTTGGGAGCTTAGAGGCTATAAGATTTGGGAGCTTAGGGGATCTAAGATTTGGGAGCGTGGAGGGTGTAATTCTTGACCCTGTAACGGTCACCGCTGATGGAGTTATACATTGGCCTGGGTCAAAGCGATGCGTGGAGGGAGAGGGTGAAAATGATTGTGATTTGATAGTTTCATTTGGCATTGCAACGGAAGTGTTTGCATTGATACCAATGCCTGCTTTGAGCTTTAAATCAACTAATTTGGTTACTGTGTATGACAACAAACTTGCTTTGCTTTCATTGACTAAGTCTGAATCTTATTTGATTGGTTTGTGAGTAGTGGAGGAGGGTATAGGTGCAACAGAGGAGAGATGGAGTTGGACTAGAAAATATGCTATAAACAACTCTTCAGACATGTTGCATCCTTTCTGCATTTGGGAGAATGAGATTGTTTGCAATGTTGATGAAACTGAAAGTGAAGTAAGCAATGATGTCACAACTGTTCTATCTCTGTTAGATCTTAGTACTAATGAACTGAAGAAGATCGTTACTACCAGCAGATGTGGCAATGAATTCTCTGCTATTTTCAATCATGTAGAAACCCTTGTACCTGTTGGCAACATTCCTGCTGAGGAGCCTTGATGCTGAATTTTAGTTATTATGTTGTAGTTGTAGATTTAATTTTCTTAAACACTTATGGTGGGAATGAACCTGTAAAATTTTAGATCATTTTGTACTTGCAATGCTTGATGCCTTTCATCTAGAATGCTGAATGCAGATATTTAATGCCAGATGTTTATAGTTTGTTTGATATATGCATATCAGAATGTTTTAGTTACGGGTTAACTGTGGGAGGGATAAATCAATAAGCGACAGTGATTGCTATACTTTTGCTGTAACAATTTAGTATGCCAGGTGCTGGAATTAATACACTAGAATCAACACGCTAGAAGGAATAATTATAACCAAACTATATCTTCTATTTCTTTTTTCTTCCTTTCATTTTATGCTTCTTTCTTCGTGTTTTTTTTTTACCTGTTTCGTGACAGAATTTACATCAGCACGTGCTTTGAAGTTACGAAACATATTAGAATGGCTTTGAAGTTTCATTTCCACCACGTGCTTTCTGGATGGTGGCATCACATTGAAGTGGGAATAAATATATGGGAAGAAAACGAGAAGGTATGTGAAAGGCAGCTTGTGCTTCTGTAGTTTGGCTATTATGCATTGAAAAATGGGAATGAAGAGAAAATTTTGAAATTGCAGGCTTAATGATATGTATGTATATAGTTTTGTATTAAGATATAGTATTTTGTGAAGAAAGATGATGTGGTTCAAAGGGGTCCCGATGACGTTGGAGAGATTTTTTTTTTTTTAATTTCAAGGTCTTTTCCATATTTCCATCCGTTCTAATCTCTTTCTTCTGTCCAAAGATCATTTGACTCTGAACCTTATTTTTCGTGTCGCACACTGCAATTTCCTTTTCGTCTTCTGCTGGGGAAGTTCCACAACATTGCCCATGACTTGTTAATTCTGAATTCTTCCATTGATCTTATCACCAGGTCATCGATGGGAAGTTAGATGAAGAGAATGAAACTGATTGGCCATTGTAATTATTTAATTTATTTGATTATTTTTCTTGTGGCGAAAGTAGTAATAAGCATTTATAAAATATAGGTTAAGTATTCTTATTTTAATGTGATATAATCTCATGATCCACTCTTATTTGTTTATTGGAGATCTCCCTGTCATGTTGGAAACGATCGTTTGAGTTTGGCTAGCAAGTCGTTGGTTAGTTTCAAAGTCATCAATCTAGGCAGAGAGGTTGTGGTTTTTATATTCCCAGCAGAGCAGCACACATTTCACGCAACGTCAAGGCAATTTCCTTTGGTAGTTTCCAACGGGCAGATGGAGGAAAGACACTGAGAAGTTTCTCCTTGTTTCGTTTTGCACGGTCTCTATTTAATTTGGGTCACCGTTTGAATCTTTTTTGGTTTTTTTTTTTTAAGCATCAAACAGAAGATTTTCTTTTTTCCATTCTATACGGAAGCTTTTTTCCTTTTTTTTTTTTTACCTGGGGAAATGACATCCAAGGCCTTTCTTGAAAAAAAATTATGGTAATAAGAGCCTATTAATTTTATGGATTGTTATATTTTTTTAAGTTTTTTTTAGAAATTTAATACGTTAAGTTCAACTTTTAACAATATATATATGTTTTTTACAAGATTATATTTGACGTAAAAGTGATGAGTTTTTATCCTGATAAATTCGGCCTTAAATGCCATTCTCCCTTTTCTTTTTTTTTTTTTTTTGTTTTTAGAAACTGAGAACAAGTCAGGTTTAAAACCGTCGTTTTATTTGACCAACTTTTTAGATTTTTCTGCAAAACAAGAGGGAATCTTCCTGAACTGTTTCGGTTGAAAAAAAATCAATTAATGTTAATGCAATTTCTTCCTGGAGATTAATAGCCGAAATTAATTTACTATTTTTTAAGTTTTAAAATAAAATACGCCCCTTCATAATTTTCTGGGGATTTCTCTGGATTTGTTCCCGGGTGTCCAACGGTAATGTCACTCACTTGGAAATTTCCTAGAAATTTCCTACAAGGAGAAAAGAAGATGCAACTGCCTGTCGTCCAATCCATCCAGGCTCTCATTTTAAAACAACAAAAGTAATAGTCATCGGCACACTGTAAAGTAGCGGGTCCCGAAAGAAAGTCCATCCGCGGACAGGAAACAGACAGGCGAGGACCTGGAAATTGCTTTTCATCATCGTGATTCGTGTACGCCGGGGTTCTGCGAAGTGTCTTTCAGGCCTATATAAGGCAACGACCGACGATGAACACAAGATTAAGAAGAGACTCCAAACATTCGGATTAACGCTGAAAGATTTCACGCCGTTGGATCGCCCCAGGGAAGAAATAGAAGAGCTGATTCAGGGAAAGAAAGCAGGGAACAGGCACAGTTCAACTATCAAGTGCTTTTCTTCTTTTAATTCGATGGTTGAACTTGATGGGGTGAAGGATGTGAAGGAGACTCTGAAGCAGGTAACACAAATTCTCCAAGTGATGAGCAAGAAAGAGAATTCGGGGCACAAAATTAAATGCTTGCCTCCGCAAAACCCAGAACTCGTTGTTGGCATGGACGAGCCCTTCTCGAGTCTGAAAATGGAGCTCCTTAAGGATGGCACATCCGCCCTTGGATTGACGGGTCTACCAGGATCCGGAAAGACCACCTTGGCAACCAAGCTCTGTGCGGATGATCGAGTCAAAGGTGTTTCTTTTTTTATTCATAATAATCGCCTTGCTTAAGGCCAGTACTCAGCTTTAGCCTAATTGAGGCCTAACAATTATTATTTTTTTTTTTTTTGGGTTCTCATATTATTACTCTTTTGATACTCAAGAGTGTCAAATTCTCAATGGGAATTTTCCTTGGAGCAATGCTTTGGGCGCAGTGATATGTTTTTGGCATATTTCCAGTGTTAGTCTGTTAATAAACTTTTGGCCGAAAAGTCTATTAATAAATTGACGGCAGCCCAAATACATATCCAAGCCCGTGAAGAGGCATGAAAAATGTGCCTTGCCAAGAGCATTATATCATATAGGAAATTTCATCGGCAATAAATTAAGCATGTTTTGCCCAAAAAAAAAAAAAATTAGGAAGCATGTTGTTATTGTTACCTTTGAGACTTCAAATGTTCCCTGATTCAAGATATCTTTTTGGTTTTATCAGGTAAATTCAGAGACCATATCTTATTTGTGACCGTCTCAAAAACACCCAACTTTAAGGTCATTGTGGAGGCGCTACTTCAAAGCTGTGGAAGTCGGGTTCCTAAGGTTCATAGCGACAAAGAAGCAGTTAAAGAGTTGCGGCTTCTGTTTAGTAAAATGGCGGAAAGACCAATATTGTTGGTCTTGGATGACGTTTGGTCTGGCTCAGAATCCCTTGTTCAGAACTTCAAGTTCCAGATTCCCGATTATAAGATTTTGATCACTTCAAGGGCTGCAATTCCAACTGTTAATCCTCAAATCCGCTTGGGATCACTTCGTGATGAAGACGCATTAACCCTTTTCCGTCACTTTGCTCTCGTAAAAGACAATAGCTCATTTATTCCCGACGAAAATCTTGTCCAAGAGGTGTGCTTTTTTTTCCTCTCATTTTTGAAACGTGGAAATTGTTTTTCTTCTCTTTCTACGTTTGATACATAGTATACTGAATTTCAGAAGTTGAAAAGCTACAAAAGAACCATATTTCATCCCTGAACTGCGATAATTTGACATAACTCATAACCTAAACCATTATTTTCTCTGACCTTATTTGTTTGCAATGAAATGCAGGTAGTGAGAAGTTGTAAAGGTCTACCTTTGGCCATTAAAATAATCGCTGAATCACTGTGTCAGGAACCGTATGACACGTGGCAAAAGATGGTGAAGGAATTATCGCAAGGTCATTCTATTCTTGATTCTAATACAAGTTTGCTTAAGTTCCTCCAAGGAAGCTTGAATGTTTTGGAAGATGAGCCCATCATCATGGAATGCTTCATGGACCTAGGGTTATTTCCGGAAGACCAAAAAATTCCCGTCACGGCTCTCATTGATATGTGGGCAGAACTTTATGGATTTGATGATGACGGCAAAATGGCAATGACCATAATCAATAAATTAGTCTCCCTGAACCTGGCAAATCTCCTTGTTACAAGGTACATTGATTAATCTTTTTCCCATGGTCTCTCTTAATGCATAATTGCTATATATAGTCGAAGATAGATGATTTAGCTTCGTGTAATTGCACGAGTACTATTCTGTTGAACATCAAATAGAGAACATAAGTTGAAGACTAACATAATATCAGACAAGAGGACACATATACTTCTATCTTGTCTGGAATTTTTCCTTAGCTGGGAAGCTAAACTCTGCTCATTTACCAGGGAAGCTAAAAGTGATTCAGACAATTACAGCAACTACTTCATCGTACAGCATGGCCTTCTAAGAGAACTTGCAATTCATCAAAGCAACCAAGAACCATTTGAACGGAGAAGAAGATTGATGATTGACATAAATGAAAATAATCGGCAATGGTGTCTGGAAGAGCAGCAGCAAAACATTATTTTCCGCCTGTTGTCAGCATTCCTTGAATGGTGCGCCAGACAAAAGCAACAACCTGCCATTGCACGCATAATGTCTATATCAACTGGTTAGTTTAATCTCTTTCTTAAAAATTTACACTTGCATATTTAAAAGAGAATACCTATTAGAAAGTAGCAAGGTGCTCTAAATTGACGCCAATTGGATTTTTTCTGGCTTTCTGCAGATGAAACAATCGCTTCAGATTGGGGCAGCTCGCAATTAATGGAAACTGAGGTTCTATTATTGAATGATGTTCATACTAAGCAGCATTCCTTGCCGAAGTTCACCGAGAAAATGATTAGCCTAAAGGTTCTGACATGCACTAATTATGGTTTCCATGCTTCTGAATTGGAAAACTTTGAGATACTGGGTTTTTTATCTAACCTGAGAAGAATTAGACTGGAGAAGGTTTCTGTTCCTCCCCTTGGCACATTGAAGAGCCTGCAAAAGTTATCCCTTTGTATGTGTGATACAAGTCAAGCTTTTGGAAGCTCTAAGATTCCAATTTCAGATTCACTGCCAATACTAGTAGAATTGAACATTGACTATTGCAAAGATATGGTTGAACTGCCTTCTGGTCTTTGTGATATTAAAACCCTCAAGAAGCTAAGTATTTCTAACTGCCATAAGTTTTCTACTTTGCCACAAGAAATTGGAAGGCTGGAGAATTTGGAAGTGCTGAGGCTGAATTCCTGTACTGATTTAGGAGCTATACCAGATTCGATTGGTGAGCTTTCCAAGTTAAGGGTTCTTGACATCTCAAACTGCATAAGCCTAAGAAATTTACCAGAGGGCATTGGTAGCTTACGAAGTATAGAAAAGTTGTATATGACAGGTTGCTCAAGGTGTGAATTGCCAGACTCAGTCTTGCATCTTGATCATTTTGTAAGTGTAACATGTGATGAGGAGACGGCTGTTTCATGGGAGGCTTTCAGACGAGCGCTTACCAATCTAAGGATCGAAGTGCCAGATGAAGATGTTAACTTAAATTGGCTTCTTGGGTCGGCTCAATAAAACATGATAGACAATAAGCCATGTTCGATGCATGTCAGACCCTTGGAACAAAACATGCACTTCGGATTCAAGTAAATCGTGTACTACGTACGTTTGTTTGCTTTATGTATTTTTAGACTTGCTTTTTTATGATTATTATAAATTTGAGATATTACGAACTTCATGTTTGCTGTTTATTTTTTCCCCCTCTTTTACATTTGTTTTAAGAAGTAAAACGGAATATGCGTAGAAGACAATAATTGCCTATAGAAAACAATACATTCCTAGATATCTTATGTTTCAATGATTTAAAGTAAAGTTTGTCTGGACGTAGCACTGAAATTTTTCCAATTTTGAAAATTCTCAAAATAGACGTGTTTTCTTCTTCTCCAACCAATAGTAGCTTCGGGCAATATGAATGGGACATTTGGTTGGTCATTTGAACTTCGAAGTATAGGGTGGTGTGGTGACTGGTAAGTGAGAGCAAACGATGTGAAGCATGAATCAAAGAGGTGCGATGAAAACGCTTGCAAGAGCAAAGCTGTAGAATGAAAAGGAAGGCATGAATAGAAAAGTCAATATTGGAAAATGCAAATTATAGATTGAATTTTTATAAAAAAGAAATCATATCCAAGACTTGTCAAAAGAATTATTTACAGATAAAAATTAATAAAAAATTATTTGTTGTTAAAATGATAACAAAGACTTGTCTTTTCTAAAATAGTGACTTAATATTGATCTGTGAATAATTTTTTTAGAGTTCTTTCGATGTCATTCTTCCATTTTTTATCATAAAAATCATTCATTCATGAAACTTTTTCACTTAAACTAGAATTTAGATCCATGGGATGTACGGAGCATTAATCCACATTGTTTAAGAGAAATAAAGAGGAAAAGAGTGAAAGTTAAATTTTATTATTATTTTTTTAAAAGGACAAGTGAAAATAACTATTTTTTAATTTTTTTAGCAACTGCTATTAATTATATATATTTTTTATTCCTAGTACAATAGAAGTAGTTTTTTTTAGTTATTAGAATGTACAAATATAAATAATAATTTATTTTATTTCACACAATTTATTTTAGATTATATGAAAAATATGACTAAACATTTTATTTTACATAATTTTTTTAATACAAAGAGAGAGAGCTTGACGCTATCTGCGCAACTTTCCTACAGGCCTGACTAAGCCAGGCCATCCGAAGCACCTGCCGAAGTGAAGCAAAAGGGCATACCACTATGTGCAGTCCTAGCATCGCCTTAAGCCCCTGTTTTGCAGGTAAGACAGGAACCAAATTTTAGACTCCCTGCAAACTTACTGTAACTACACCTCCCAGTCCCTACCAAGCAGGTGCAAGACCTCCTTGATAAGGTCATGATCGTAATGTTCGAGGTTAGGTTTATGGCGCAACAACTCCCATGTTTCGATAAAGTCCGGTTCAAGCTGGATCCATCGAAAACCAGAATCCCAAGCCGTTTTGAGTCCAAGCAAACAACCCCAAATCTCTGCAGTCAAGCAATCACCACTAGTCGTTTGTATGATAAACCTTCCAAGCTCATCTCGTAGCAGGCCTCCCCATGCAACCTCACCAGTTGGGATGACATAAGCCCCATCGACGTCGAGCTTAACCCATCCCGTTGCCGGTGTCTCCATCTTCCAAAATCAGTTCTAAGCATTTGTATCCCCCGTGTATTCTTCAACAGTGATCTGCTCGCAACCATGGCAGACTCAGTTATGACCTTAGCTCAAAATACTGCCTCATCAAGGCTAGAAGATTTCCGTTCAGAAACGTAAGTGTTGCGTCGCCTCCAAAAACCCCAACAGAGAGTTGTGAACAGGGACCCCCATCCTTCCTTCTAGTGGTCTTGACGTTGGTGCGGGACATTCCACAAGATCCATGCTTTCAGGTTCGCATTAAAGAAATGTGACCAATGAGTAGATGAGACAGAGATTTCCACATCCTTCGTGTATGAGCAGAGTCACGACGGACGTGAAGGACGTGTTCTTCTTTATCTCTATTACACAGCAGACACGTATCCTCCGAACTCACACCTCTTCGACAGCTAACAACGTTGGTGAGTAGACTATTCCGATAAGCCAGACAAAGGAAGGTATGGCAATGTTATGGTGCTTTTTCCACAACCTTTCCCAACCCCTAACGGTTCTCTGAAACTCTTGCGACAGCATGGTGTAGGCAGATTTCATTGTAGAGAGGCCATTCCTCTCTCCTCGCCATCGAACATTCGTGCCTTCAGCATTTTGCTCAAGACCATCTGTAACTTTTGGCCAAGTAGCCTTAATGCCTGCCCAAACCCTGTTCTTCTCTCATCGAATTTTTGGAAGTTAGTCATTCCCCCAGTGGTATTTATCCCTCACCACCTTGACCCAGAAACCATCACGTCTCCTACAAAGGCCCCATCTCAGCTTCATCAGGAGAGCTTGATTCTGGTTTTTTGCGTGTAGGATGCCAAGCCTGCCTTGTTTCTTGGGTCTACAAACCTTATCCCAAGCCACCAAGTGAATCTTCCTTCTCTCCACAATCCACTACTGCCCCCTGCCCCTACAAAAATCACAATTCTGCATATCAAGAGCTTCACACGTTTTGCTTGAGAATAGAGCCGTTCGAATGGCATGCCCTGGAATCACGGAACTCACCAAAGATACCAATGTGGTTCTGCCAGCTAGAGAAAGTGAACCTAGTTGGCCATCTGGATAGTCCAAGCTCTAGGCTTCACTTCGTAGGAAATGAATTCAGGAGATTTTGCACTGAAGATTACATTTTCTATTTCCAAATGTAAGTTTTTTAGAAACAAATAGGAATCTCCTCTCAATCAAACGGGCAAAAAGGAAAAGATTAAAAAATCAAATCAAATTGAAATATTTTTTCGGCCAAAATCAAATTGAAATGTTGAATATCATGGCACACAATGTACCTTGGTTTTAGAATAATAGAGCAAAAGAAAAGGGCAAAGGAAGTAACAAGCATTTGGCAGGGGATAATTATGATGCTTCCTACTCCAACAAAAAAACACTTTTTCAGGTATTATTTTGCACAACAACCATTTGTGCTATTAAACAAGTAAAAAAAAAATGAAATATTCACTACAAAAAAACAGCTACTTAGTGATGAAATTTTTCATCGCTAATCAGTGAAAATTTTATCACTAAATGAATTAATGATGGAATTAGTGATGAAATATTTTGTCAGTAAAAACACTATCACTAATTCGTTAGTGATGGAATTTGCAATTCTTCATTAACTAGTGACGAAATTGCATTTCATTTCTAATTAGTGACAGAATTGCAATAGAAATTTTTTATCATTAAATAAAGATAAGCTATTTTGACTTTGTGACGGAACATATGCCGTCGCTACACTACTGCAAAAATGTCCTTTTAGTGCTTATTTTGGCGCGCTTATGAAAAAAACGCTCCTAAAAATGCATGCGGACCTTGTTACATATTGAGTGTTTTTCTGAATAAGCGTTCCTAAATATTAGGTGGATCAAAATATCATTGTCACGTGTGTCCAGTGCATAATGCCACCTCACCACCACCTAGTCAACCAATGGACCAATACCACCTCACCGTCATGTCAAATATTATTACCTTCAATTGTGTTTTGGCTAGTTCAAACTTGCAACTTCATACTTCCGAGTGCCTTTGGGTTCACTTGTTGTCAATTGAGCTGAAAGAAATTTTTAGTCTTAATTAATATATAAATATAGTATTTAAAATTTATTTATTATTTTTAATAAGAATAATTAAGTACATTTAAATTATTATTAATATGGCAAATAATTTAAATAATAAATTATATTAAATTATAATTTTTTTAAATTATTTCTTATAGCATAATAAAAAAATCATTAAATAAATTACATATAAATATATATTATAAATAATTAAATTAAATTAAAAATAATTTGTGACAAAATTAGTGACTGAATTATGACATAAAGCTTTATGATGGAATTTTTTGTGGCAAATTCCGTCACTAAATCAGAATAAGATATTCTGACCATTAACGATGGAATTTTCTGTCAGTAAACTCCATTAATAAATTATTTCTGATGAATTAGCGATGGAATAATGATAAAATTTTAACGACAGAACATTTCATCACTAAATTGGCATCAAAACTAGCGATGGATTAGCAATCAATTAGTGACGAAAATTTATTCCGTCACCAAATTTCATCGCTAATCTGTTGTTTTTTTTTTTTTTTGTAGTGATTTGGGACCCAATAGGGTCACGATAACATCTACGAATAATATTTCATTCATCCTGTCACCCAGAAAAAAATGAGGATCATAAAGGAAGCTAAAATTGATCCTGACATCAACAGCTATGATTCCGAGATTCAAGCAAATATAATTTCAAATTCAACAATATATCTAGAACAATATAATAACTATTATAAGCTAAGGTAAATTTTTAGCCATCTTATTTTCTCTTAATAAAATCATTTCACCCACCAACAACAGGGCAACAAAAAGTAACTAATAAGTATCCATAAACAAGATTCAAGTAGAAATCCTATTTTCGCAAGGAAAAATATTTCAGTTTTGAAGTATTTGCTACTCCAATGAAAATTTCAGCACTGCATAGTTGGGTCTTTAAGAAAAACTTTTCCCCGAGATATTTTTATCAGAAAAGACGCTAACAAACAACTCTACCAAAATATTATCCCTTTTTGCAATTAACAAGAGAGATTTCATTTCCTCCAGTAGACACGTTAAGGTCCTTAAAGCCCCGAAGGCATGTGACTTTGTTTCTGGGGAAAAAATTAATATGGGTACACTCAGGCTTACAATCGAACGTTAAAAAGACAATAAACAACACTGAAAAAGTGACCCAATACATCAAACAGACTAATACACCAAAGAAAGGAAAGCCCAGAACACGCATAGCATAATCATCACTAAAGACTAGCATTCCAAGCTCGAACGATAGGGGGAAGGAAAGAAAGAGAAGTGGAAGACAAAAAATGAAGGTGAAACTCACAGTGTCACTGATCGGTGGAGGGTGAGGTGGAGTATAGATCATAACACTTTCATTGACAAAAGCAGTATATCAAAACGCCGAATTGGAGCGAGAATCTGCAAGAAAGTTGCACAATTGGGGGATTGCGTTGTACAGGGCAAAATGATGAATGGTGATTCAATCCCATGGTGAAAAG